ATATATTGACCCCAGATCATCATAAGTGGTAAAAACAAAGATTAGTATGTGTTTTGGACCCTATTTTCAAGGATTTAAATCACTTTTAACGGAAACAAATTTCAGTAAATAATGTGTAATTTTTCCAAGGCTATAGGCTTTACTTTTTCAATTTTTTTTTCAAATCAATTTTTTTAAGATTTTCTTTTGAAGATATATTGACCCTCCATCATCATAGTTGGTGAAAAACAATTATTAGTCTGTATTTTGGACCCTATTTTTAATGATTTAAATCACTTTTAACGGAAACAAATTTTAGCAAATAATGTGTAATTTTTCCAAGGCTATAGGCTTTACTTTTTCAATTTTTTTTTTGGATTTTCTTTTGAAGATATATTGACCCCAGATCATCATAAGTGGTAAAAACAATGATTAGTATGTGTTTTGGACCCTATTTTTAACGATTTAAATCACCTTTAACAGAAACAAATTTCATCAAATAATGTGTATTTTTTCCAAGGCTATAGGCTTTACTTTTTCAATTTTTTTTAACATTTTCTTTTGAAGATATATTGACCTTCGATCATCATAAGTGGTAAAAAACAAAGATTAGTATGTGTTTTGGACCCTATTTTTAAGGATTTAAATCACCTTTAACGGAAACAAATTTCAGCAAATAATGTGTATTTTTTCCAAGGCTATAGGCTTTGATTTTTCAAATTTTTTTAACATTTTCTTTTGAAAATATATTGACCCTCGATCATCATAAGTGGTAAAAAACAAAGATTAGTATGTGTTTTGGACCCTATTTTTAAGGATTTAAATCACTTTTAACGGAAACAATTTTCAGCAAATAATGTGTAATTTTTCCAAGGCTATAGGCTTTACTTTTTCAAATTTTTTAAAGATTTTCTTTTGAAGATATGTTGACCCTTGATCATCATAAGTGGTAAAAAACAAAGATTAGTATGTGTTTTGGACCCTATTTTTAAGGATTTAAATCACTTTTAACGGAAACAAATTTCAGCAAATAATGTGTAATTTTTCCAAGGCTATAGGCTTTACTTTTTCAAATTTTTTAAAGATTTTCTTTTGAAGATATGTTGACCCTTGATCATCATAAGTGGTAAAAAACAAAGATTAGTATGTGTTTTGGGTTCTTTTTTTAACATTGAAGCTCACTGTCGACAGAAACAAATTTCAACAAATAATGTGTTCTTTTACCAAGGCTATAGGCTTTGCTTTTTCAAATTTTTTTTGTAAGATTTTCTTCAGAAGATATATCGACGCCCGAATGTTATAAGTGGTAAAAACAAAGATCAGTAAGTGTTTTAGATTTTATTTTTAACGATTAAGTTCACTTTCGACGGAAAAAAATTTCAGCAAATAATTTGTAATTTTTCCAAGGCTAAAGTCTTGCTTGTTTCCAAAAATTTAATATTCTCTTCGAAAAAAAATTGGGACCAGAATGTGAAAAAGGTTTTGGAACTTTGAAGCATTTTGTTACTCTATGTCACCTTCAGGAAAAAACATCCCAACCCAAATTGTGTCATTCTACGAAGTTTTTAGGCTTTGCTTTTTTCTTCACAAATTGGATAATTTTTTTGACAAAGGTTAGCTCAAGTGAGTGAAAAGAGACATTACGAATAGAAAATGTGCCAAATTAAGTCAGAGGGTTAAAAAGAACTCCTTCTGGCTCTGCAATAGCAATTTGTTCATCATTATGTAGATTAAACTAATAGATTTGGACGACGAAATGAATCCGAAACGTTTGTAGGGATTTTCCATTCATGCCAGTGCGTTTAATATAGCACTGCAGTAAATGCTTTTCAGAAAGAGATTTTTTTTTTCTTCCTATCTCATAGAGTTGTTTGGGTAATTGATGTTTGTTTAGGTATCCCTAATAGACTTGGCTAACGGAGTGTTGGGCTGACTCACGCTAATCATGGGCTGAATCAAGCTATTCATTCGTCTAACAAACAACTTAACGACATTTACAAACGCGTGTATGCATTTTAAAGTTACATTTACAAAAAATCTTTGGCGTAAAATTTGTATCCTGTTTTTCTAAATTCTGATTGGTAGACATGTTTAGTTTGTGTAGATTAAAAGTATATGAAACGTCCGATTGTAAGGTAAGAAGCGACAGAAACGGCGATAAAAAAGATAGATAATCAGTACCGAGGTATACGGAGTACAATGAAGAATTTCCTTTAGTATTCTCTTAACTATTAAATCTCTGAACCAGCAGGTAGTTCTGATGTTGGTACACTGGATAATTTCTACAACATTTCACCATTATAGCTCTTGGCACAATCTGGTTTGCGTTAGAGGCATTTCTATTTTTGTGTACAAAGAATGAGTACACTATGTTCCATCGTGTAAAGAACTTCCCCTAAATGCTACGAAATGAAGGAAAGAAATTTATACGGATCACCGGGTTTTAACCGCAGTAGAAAAGCTTGCTACGTGCTGTTTATCTCGAATAAGTGCACTGTGCACCTATTTGGAAAATTAGGTTTATTTGTAAGTATTATTTGTAAGTACGTACCACCAGTGAACATGGAAATAAATAAGAGGTTGGAAAAACTGCCTTAGATGCCTCAAGAATGGCTCATCATATATCCTCTAGCAGTGTACCACAAGCGCAGTGACAGCAAAGCATTAATTTCAGTTTTCTTTCTGGAACCAAAAAAATGTGCAATAATCTAGAAATAAAAATAGATTTTGAACATTTGAGAAAGAGAGTAAAAACAGCACTAAAATATTATTGTTTTTTAGCTTTTGGCAAAACTTGATAGGAAGCGGCACTGATTGAAAAACCTTTACTATCCGCAGGCTGGTAAACCTTAACTGGCCTATTTCTATCCGCAGCTTTGTTTTTGTTTGTTTGTAACCTTATTTTAATTCGATATTGCTTCTAGCTATACATGTATATATATGGATATATACACATACAACTAATCTAAATCGAATCTACTGTATAACAAATGAAGAGGAAATAACTAAGGAAATAAATACGTTGATACATAAGCTAAATATTTGAAGCAACTTGGATATGAATGGACAAAATTTACAGGATATTGATATCATTATATTTAAAAACATTGCATTTGCAGCTAGGACCATCCCATCGTTTTATTATACGTTTGAAGCTGTTAGGATTGTCACCTGATTTTAGTTCATTTGGCAGACAGTTCCAGATCTGAGGTCCTATGGCTTTAAGGCTCTTGGAACCGAAAGTTACTTGGTTTGGTCGAAAATGATTTAAGTTATTAGGATTCCGAGAAGGATGTTTTAATGTTCTTGAACTAAAAATGCTATGCATAAAAGGTGGATTCAAATTTCTAATTGTCTCGAAAATTTCGATACAGAGGGTTCTCTGACAAGCAACTTGCATTTTACACTTTTTTGACCTAATAAGAAGATCATAATAGGAACTTTTCAGATCATTGTACAAAAATCTTAGCGCGGGTTCCTGTATCCTTTCAATTTTCTGAAGTGATTTTGAAGACGAAAAATACCAAACTAAAGGACAATGGTTGAAATTCGAATACACAAATACCAAACTAAATGACTTGAGTCGCTTAAAAACGTTCAGTTGGGTTTACATATTTTCCAACCTAGAGTTTTGTGTTAGAGGCATTTCTAATTTTGTGTACGAAGAATCTTTCAGACGTTTGATACTCTGAAAAGTTTCAGATGAAAAGCTAAAGAATATTTCAAAAAGTTTTTAAAGGGATTTGACATGCACAAGTACAGCGAATCTAAAAAATAATTTAGGGCCAAATTGATCAGAGCATGCGCGGAAAGAAGGAAATTGAACAAATGCTCAAATGAAACCATTGTGTGCTGCTGTAGAATTTCCGAAACTGTTTACATGTTTTTCTCTGTGCGCAATCTGATTGGCTAACCGCTTGTGGTCGAGTGGCTGTAAGCCACTTTTACCTGTGTCAATGCCTTTCCAGCATATTTACAACATACGTAACTAAGCATCCAAAATCTCAGCATATTTACAACATACGTAACTGATTAGAAGTTTCTTACCGAACTATTTCTGATCATTTAGTCAAAACTTCTGAAAATAGTTTTGTTTCTGTGAGGCCACCATTTCCATCAAAGATTGGAAAACAATGTAATCAGTCAATATTTAGTTCCACAATTTCAAGAACAGGTGCAAAAGCAGAAACGGCAGAATACAGCACTTTTATTGCCAAACTATAATTCGCTTTATGACATCTAATTCGTTGACAGCACTTGTTTTAATTTCACTTTATACAAATACCTATAGTTTTCTTCGCATTTTCAATGTTTGGAGAGGACAGACGCTGTAGGGCATCGGCCAATGGATTTAGGATGAGCCTGCTGTTTGGTACGATACGTGTTTCAAATGACAACGTTTATTTTTCAAAAAAGATTGTATTCAAAACCATCATAAGATGACGCAGTTGGGATAAATTGTCACTGTTTAAAGGTTCACAATTGTTACATTACTCAGCGTTGCCTGCGCTGGCTTCTCACCTCTGTGTCGATGCTTTAGTCTAACCAAAACTCAACTAAAGGTCCTTGTGTCCGTCTGTCATCAAGCTAGAATGTTTTGACCATAGACGTAGAAACCAGTAAGCCTGTGTCACTTCACACTTCAGAAACAGAGAAAAGTTTCTCACAGCAGGGCTCTTTTTGCCTACATGTGAATCCCCCCCTTCCCCCACCTTCAAAATGCTTTCTATATGTATGTTTTTGGGGAGCTCACGCATTATAAATTATCATTAATCATTTACATGACGAAGGATTCGATGTCCCGTATGAAAAGGTATGTTTTTATAATCTAATTTTCTAATACTTTGTTAATTTTATCAAATCCTATACGGCATGGAATAGTAGGTCATGATGTGCTAGAAGAGTTAAATCTGTTGCAAATCGACTATGCATTTTGGAAGACCTGAACAGTAGGACTCTTGGGCGTCATATTATAAAATGTAGCAAAGAAGCAAAAATAAGTAAAAATGCGATTAACTTACAAAAACATTCCTGCTCTTTTCTCTTTCGCTGTCTGCCATAAAGCAGGTTCAACGTCATCTCCATATTTTTCTGTTCTGCAGTTATCCTTCCTACGCCAATGACCGAACAGTGTCAGTCTTTTTTTCCTCTGCTCCTTTTGCCGTTTAATCTCCCTTCGATGACATCCCTAAAAATTCCCTGGTGTCTCACACTGTGACCGATCCACTTCGTCTGCCGGTTATATATGGTGGAGATCAAGGTTCTTTTCTCTTCAGTTCTTCGCAGTTCTTCCTCATTTGTCACTCTTTCTGTACAACTGATCTTCTTCATTCTCCTCCAAAACCACATTTCTGCATTTTCCAGTCTCGTTCTTTCCTCTTGTTTTCTGTTCTTAAGAAAAGAAATTTACAGTGTTTCTGAAATTATCATAGTTTTCGTTCTAATCAAAAATCGACAAACAATTTTTTTCCAAGATCTCATTTTAATGAATGAAATTGTACAAAGCTAGAAAGCTTTTTTGTCATCTTATCCACTAACCTAAATCTAATTACCAAGTATTTAAACACGAAAAAACAATTCCTAATAGAAGGGCGCTTAGGTCAATGCTTGCCCAAGGAAGCACCACTTAACCCTACACCAGAAATCTAGGTCAAGTACAAAGAAAAAAATGCAAATTCAACTCACTTCCTTATGGGTAAGCAGCGTCTTGACCATTGCTCCGTCATGATCGCAAGCTAATGCTGTGTATGCCCTAGCTTCTTCCATGCATTTTCATACGAGGTAAGCGACCTGCTGGGTAGAGCTTCATCTTTATTGATTAAGATGATATTATGCTAATATTTGGGTACACAAACAGTGGGAGATGGTAGAGAGTTGAGGGTGTTTTCTTTCCATAGCCATTTCTTATGATCTTAATTAAAGATATAATTACATTGCTTTGTGTTAAAAGTAGTTCAAAATGGAAGAAAACGTGTTGGTAATTGCAATTTTAATTTTCCATGGGGTCGCGTCTGAGAAATGATTTGTAAAAGAGGCAATTTCAGAACAAGAGAATTGCCTGTTCCCAAGTCCATCAAAAAATTGCCACTGTTGTAAATGTGCAGCAATGTTTTCATCGCTGTCTTCGGCTGGAAAAATGCAGTATTCTTAACTTTAAAGAAAAATCGGATCATAGCAAAGAAAACTGTGAAGTATACAATGTCAGCTTGCAGCATGATAGCTGCAAAACAATCGATGAGAAATCATGGAAGCTCTTTCTTGATGAGGTTTGTTCTTGGTTGTTTCTCTCTTTTTTTCTCAAAGTAACCTGTAATAAAGTAGCAAATAAGTAACACCGCAATGCGACGAGAATAAACAGCAACAAACACACATAAATCAGTTATGGCTAATATTTCACCCTGGCAAACAGGGCTTCATTCGGCTGTAGCCAGAGCTGCTCGTGACGGTATCTTTAGAAAATTTCCCGCGGGCACTCGGGATGCCATGCAGAAGTTTATAGAAGACGATATATAATCAGCCCGCGCACTCAGCTGCATGCTAAAGGTTGAATCATAAGGAGCCTATTATAGTGATAAACTGTTACTAGAATTACTTTTGACTGGATTTATAATTATATTGAGCTCTAAAGAGCAGTTAATTGGAGAATAGGCTTTGAATAGAATATTTAAGGGGGGGCAACTAGGAGCAGTTGCCCCTCCCTCGACGAGTTGAAGCAAGTCTGGCACCCCATTTTTGGGAATTGTGTGCCCCTTTTAAAGAATGAGAATCAGGTGAAAAGTTTCTGAGACCGATGGGTTAATTTGCTTCAAGGATTACCAAGGAAAGTTATTTGTTCATTTGAAAATGGATATTAAATTGTTGTATACAGCGTACTCTCGTCACCAATTTTTGAAAAATTTTCAGCACCCCCATTACCAACTGCCCCTCCTTCAAATTTTCTCTGGATCCGCCCTTGCAATAAGCAAACAGCTATTCATATTCTCATCTTCCGCTTTCAGCGAGTAAACAAGCAAATGTCAGGTAACTATTACAGCCAATATGTCAATCTTCTAATATAAATGCTTACAGTCAAAAATTCATTAGTTTTTATCTCCCAATAACGGACAATCGTCTTGACAGTGGACATGCCCTCTTAAGTCACAGCACCCCAAGTCGCAAAGTTGTTCATTGAATTGCGATACCACTATAATATCCAGTTTACTGCGGATCATTTTCATGACTATAGTTTATTTTGATACGCTATGACTTTATACATAATTTTTGTGCGCGGAAATACACGCAATATTTTTGTGTCTAGGAAGCTTTTCATATCCATTATATTAGGAACGGCTCTTAGAAGCAAAAAATAATTAAAAATTGATCCTTCCTTCTACCGTTCTCCTCCCTTCCTATTCCCTCTTCGTTTCCCTTCCTTTTCTCTTCCTTTCCCTTCCTTCGCTTCCCTTCCTGTTCCCTTCCTTTTCTCTCCTTTTTTTCTATTCCTTGTAGTATCCTTCCCAAAAAATATGAATCAACGGCTGTCGCAGCCTTCTCTGAGTCCACATCGACCCCTACCTCTTCTTGAACTAATGCTTCAACACTTTCTGTAAGTGTAGGCAATGTAAAGAAAGATGGCGGAGAAGCAATATCATTTTCAACTAAATCAGTTTTATAAACATTACCCCGATGGATGAAAAACAAGAGAGCTTCACTCCCTCTTCTTATTTTTTACTGAATACGATCTGATCTTATTTCTTGGCAATTCTTAATGATTTGATTTTCTCTGCACTGATAGCTGATGGAATGAGGCCGCGTGAAACTCCGAGTGGCAACTTAGAACCGTCCTGTTCAATACACCAAATAGTGTGTAATTTAGCCTTTGATTGGGTTTAAAAATATATTTGTCTTAATCTTCTAACTTTATATGGATGATGCACTTGTTACTGAATGGAAAACGCTGCAAAATACTATATTTGTATTTTCATGGCACTGCTCAAGTCATGTCAGGACCTCTACTCTGAAGAAACAAGGAATTTGAGCGGAGTTTACAAATTACAGGATAGTGAGCATTACTGTCGAATGAATGAAATTAAAGGCTGTGGTGCTGGGGGATGGACATTGGCCATGGTAATGGACGGCATGAATGTAAGTCGAGTGTTAGACTAACAGTTATTTATTCAATTAATCCCGTCTTTAGAAAAGCAATTTGATACGTAAGTAAAGCAGGCATGATTCAATTTAACCATTTTTGACATTCTAACAATGGGAGCAATTGCCCCTCCAACCCCAGTGGCCTTCAAAACAATAGTGTCCACCTCTTTATTTAAACAAATACTTGCTCCAAAACAAAATATATTAGCCAAAGCTATTGCCTTCTGTACAAAAAAGACAGATTCAAGTTCTTCGTTATTTTATAGTAGGAGCCCTATATAATAACTAATTTCATGAAAATTTTTTGCTTTTCCGCCCAACAGAAATTCGAACAGTAGGGTTAATTTCTCAGAAAAATTGTCAACCATTATGAAACAAATTGCTCAATAATACAACTTAGTGTGACAAAAAGTGTGCTTTAAATTATGTGCTGCTAAAGATAGGCCTTTTATTTCAAAGATGGCCATTCAATCCAACAGATTTCACAGTCACCCAAACATTTGTGCTTTTTTGTGCTGGAAATCTTTAGTGCCATGTGCCTGGTCTTCCTTCCATCAAGATCTAGCAGTTTTGGGATCGATCTACATACAAACGAAAAAGCCGCCATTGTGTAGACAGAAGGAGTTCGTTTCTCTCTTGGACTTCATTGGTGGTTTTTCTTTAGGAATGCGGCACTGATTGGTCAACTATACCGGTCTTGTGCTTGCCTTTTTCTGATTGGCCTATTTTGATCCACAACTGGGTATATATTCAAATTTTTCTTTATAATTCTTTCACAGATTACATTTGCTCCATGTTCAGACTACAGGACCAACGATGCAGTATACAATACTGAAAATGGCCTGAAATCAGTTGATAATGATGTAGAAGCAAAGTATCCAGCGTTCTCGTCAATCCCATTCAAGGCACTGTGTATCGGTATGAGGCGCAGTGGTACTACCAATTGGATTCAAATTTTGATTGCTTGTTCCTCATTAAAATAAATATTTGCTGGTAACAGATACATACCAACAAGTGTGAGCAGAGAAACCTGGAAGAGTCTTATTGGTGCAGAGGCATCACTTCAGTATGAATGTAACAGACAAGGGTTTAACATAATGGATTCTGGCGATGGTGTTTTATGAATAGAACTGGTTACATTGCAAATAATGAATATGATTGACAAACAGCCTATTCTTTCATTGGCTTCGGCTCAGTAAATGTCAAACTCTGCTATTTGACACAGCAGCCAATAACCTGTCGAAATTTAGGCCAATATTATTCTGATAATGGCTTCAAATATTTGCCAGCCATTGGATGCATACTAATACAATGAAAAAACAGACATTGATTGGCAACCTTAGTTAGTCACGACCAAATAGCAATGTCATATAGTTGCATTTGTTAATGAAAGGATATTTATAACTATCATTTACCTCTAATATTCAATTGGTTAATGCTCAGGGAAAAACATAAACCAAAAATCATATTATTTTGCTTTGTAGATATGTATAACCAACGTCAGATCGAAAACAATTAAAGCTTTCACAGGAAATACCAGGTTGCTATTAATCTGAATATTGAAATAAAGTAAAAACAATAGGTTATATTTCCTTCTATGGTTACATACTAAGCACTGCCTGGCCTTTTTCACCTGACATGTATTTTTGGTATATGATATGGCTCGTATCCTTATATTACAATCGAGACTATACCAAGCAATAAACAAGGCAAGTACCACAGGAAAGGAAGACCATATCCCCCTTGGCCATTAACTACGATTTCTTGATGAAATTCCATATGTTGCTTCGCCGAAATAATACATTCACAGCTTAGCGCTGAAGAAGACATGACCATAAAAAATATGATTGTTCGCGATGCATGCTTGCCCTTTAAGTGAAACGAGTCATTTTGTCAACAATAAAATACCAACCACGTACCTTGCGTTCCAAGTCGAAGAAACATGTTTTTCTCAGTGTAGTAATAAATGATAGCTATCCTCTTTGCAACTGGTGTAGTGAAATTTACGAAATCATCCATGCTTTTGGTATTCAGTGTTAAAAAGCAATGAAAATGCCTTATCAAGTTCTTCCTAAAACTAGGCCAGCTTTCAAACGGTACTGTGTTTGCTAGAAAGATGGCGGGAAACTGGCGTTGTAGTTGTTGTTGTTGTTGTAATCAATGAGTTTGAGCGAAAGACATTTGGGATTTGTTTCTATTGTCAAGAATTCCCTACGGTGTGAAATGCTTAGTTGATTGTTCTCTGGCCAAGGTCTTGGAAATGGACATACAGGACATTCCATGTCGAACTCTCGTTCGCGCCAAAAAAAACCCCTGTCATAAAGTGCTCGATGCCGATAACGTGCCGGATCTGTCATAAAGTGGATCGATACCGGATAGGCAAGGAGTAGCAACTTAGAACAGTTTTGTTACACTAAAAGCGTACATTATAGCAATGTATTAAACACACTAAAATAACATTATGTGTCGTATGGTTGCGTAAAATCAAGGAGTAAAATCAAAAATACAATGAAGAAACTCGTGAACAAAGCTGAAGAGACATTTAATAACGAACAAAATGTATGCATGTACTAAATTCTGTTGTTTTCATCGGCCTCCTCCGCATCGAATCTAACATACAGGGCGTCGTTGAATTTGTCGAGATTCAAGTAGATATGCTAGAAAGTAAAACGAACGGATTGAATGATGTCTTCACAGAGCTTAATCAATAAAATATTAAGGCACCAAATATTAAATTTATCTTCCGCAGTGCAGTTGTCAAGTTTACTTTTTAAGTTATCCATTGAATCTAACTTTCATAGGTCTCAAGGGAGTTGAGTCACTCTTGCAAATGCTTAAAACAAGCAAATTTCTGAATTTACTATCATTTTTGCAAAATTTGGCGCAAAGACTTCCCCTGTTTTTTTTCGATTGCACTATATCCCTGGTCTCAATTAAAACAAATCAAAACCCTAACCAACCATTTTCTAAAGAAGGATGAGATGAAAGCATGAAGAGACGCCTTGCAGTTCAGAAGTTGTCGTTTTGAAATGAAAATAGATGCATTTGGCATATGCATCGATGATGTAGCAACGTTCAGTGTAAGCAAGTTCCAAAACACAGACATATCAGGGGCGGCTGGGAGAGATTTTAAACTGCTATTAGAGAAAATCGTGGTATCAGGGCGTGGCTGCCGCTGTTTTTTACTTCCAACCACACCCTCTTCAATGGTTGTTTTCAATATTGCACTGTCTTTTTCTATGCTCTACCTCATCGTTACATCTTGATTTTCTTGGCCGCAAGTCGAAAACACCTTGCCATTTTCTATTGTAACGCTCTCTTTCTCATAGTCATAAAGAGAAAAGTAAAAAAAATCAGGGAGGGGAGGGCTATGGCCACGGTCGGAGGTTATTTGATCTCTAGAGCAATAAGGCCCATTGTCAGACTTGTCAGACTTATAATTTTGAATTTGATACTAATCCTAAAAATATTGTAAAGTTGCAGCACGTTTCTTAGTTCTAAATAAAATTCAGAGACATTCTTTCAAATTTCTACTAAAACAACCTTTATTGGAATATATCTTCAGTTCCGAAGTCATGTCTACAAATTCAGTCTTTCAATTACGACTGTAGGCTTTGGCTTCGACGGCCTGCGGGCCGCAGATGAATATCATCAGCTTACGATGAAAAGGCTCTCTGTCCGTAGCCGTAGCCTCTTTTTTGTTGCTGTTAACGGCCCTCTTTTAATAGCAAAATCATATCGGCAAGTATCGTACATTGAAATACTCAAATATTTCTGATAAATGCTCATTGTTAACATAAAAAACCAAAGCACCATATTTTTCAATTCAATTCAAGTGCAGATTTGGATTTTCGATGAAACTAACGTAACAGCCTGAGAATAAACTACATACCGCTTCACCAAAATAATAAGAGAGCGCTATCTTTCAAATGTTTAAACGAAGTCGCTTTTGGTGTGTTTATTGTTGTTGTGAAGAAAGGATTGTCTGTCAGTATGTCGTTAAAACACCCAACGTAAACTAGAAACGGCCATATGATTTATTTTAAACGCAATATACCACATGCACGGAAGAGTGAACTGGGGAATCTTGCTATTAGAAGTGACCCGGCTAATAGCAAGTCCGCATATATTGGGTCTTTCACAACAGCATGATTGGCCAATTTACGTCACACAAGGAGACACAAACAAAGGTGGATATGAAAGTTGCTATTAGGATTCACAAACCTAATAGCAAAATTTCAGGGCTGTGGCTGTAGTATTTGTTTGAGGCCGCCAGATGAATGCGTCACAATAAGTGTCGCGACAAGCGTAGGAGGGAGGTCTTTTTTGAAAGAATCTAATCAGTTTCAAGAGTAGCAGCTTCTGCTCGCTCTACCATGGCCATATCACGCCATATCATTGCAAAATGGCAGGAAAAAAGTTAGCGGTCCAAATAAACTGTTTTTGCCAAGGATTTTCAGTGCTAGTTTTATTTTAAAGATATATGACCAGTAGATTATGAGAGCCTTTGCTGAAAAAAAATTGCTATTAGACTAATAACGCTAATACCGCTCCCACCCGCCCCTGAGACATATACAGTAAAAACTCATCATTCACCTTCAATAGAACTGGCAGATCCCTGAAAAAATCCCCTTGCAGAAAAATAGAGAGCTTTTTGGTATGATGTCATATAGATTTTTTAGTTGTTTCACTTTTGACATCGCAGCTTACAGTAAAAGCTTTATCCGAAAATCTTTTAAGCCAGGCCCTCCAGAAAGCCGGAGAACGCCCCATTTAGAAAATACTTGTTTATTTCTATTGAAATTTTGTAAACAGTCTGGTTCAGAGAAGATATCAATAACTATAAAAAGGGTAATAAAACTCCAAGCTAACCAAGTTAGAAATACAGATTAGACCAAATAAACACCTAGAAAATGAACAAAAAAGGTTCCCAGTCAAGACGAACTGCTACTACATAAGAGCAAAGTATCCAAAGTTGCGTTAGGTTAAACTTTCAAAAAATGTCTAAGCCTATTACTGCAAAAAAGTGGGGGGGGGGGCTATAGCCCCTGCTAGCCCAATGGCTGCGCAGAGCCTGTCTAAATATGCCAGTTTGTGACGTAATCAATTGATTCTCTATTGCAGCGATCTAAAGCCAGTTGCAAATAGGAAGCATTTGTAAGTCTACCGCAAACAGCATGCTTCTTTTTGCCTGAAAAATGCAAGGAGCATACTAGAACGAGGTCAAAGTGACTTACGTCATCCTCTTCCAAAAGTGTCTTTAGCATGCATCGCAGCTCTTCGAAAGAAGGTCGTCGACTTTCTTCTTTTTGCCAACATGAGGTCATTATACTATATCTATCAAATATAGAAATAAACAACTTATATGTTTTCTATTTCATAGAATATGTACATGTTAAAGACTTGTCTGGAAGATGTCACCTTCATGTCATCATCAACTTCATAACTACAGATTCTAGTATTTGCTTTTGTTGCTTTATACTACCATAGGTCAAGCTATTTTCGGCTTTCAACCATGCTACGCAAATTTCTTTTTAGCAAAAAGGAATAAATAAGATTCTCACAGCTCTGCAGAACAGTGTAACGGTCTCTCCATTCTGAAGCCTTTTTCAATTAAAGCTGGTACTTCCTTTGCTTTGTGTTCTGGATAGGGGACATTGCCTGGGAATATACAGAAGTGCATTGGTAAATTGAACGATACCGCACATTACATAAATTCACTTAACGGCAAAGTTTTAAAAGTACCTCCAAATTCAATTGTCGTCAACTTAGAATACACCACCATGCTTCGAGTTTTGGTAGAACTTTCATATTTTTAAAATTTTTAAATATTTCATAATATTTTGCATATATGTGAATGCAAATAAAAGTACTAAGATTTGTCAGGATGAAATTGGACTTAAAACAAATGGTTTTGAGTTAATCAGCAGAGCAAGCCTTCAGCTTTTGAGTTTTCCGGGTTTTTTGCTTGCAGAGATGTTTCTATTATGCTGAGGTCTGTGACTTAATACTTATAACTGATTTTTCCCGGTCCATCTCCTTTGGAGGTATCCCAAATCCTCGAATTTTCTTCTTACATGAGGCCTCCACGCTTAAGCCCCCGCCCCTTTCAATATATTGATAAGTCTGTCGGTAAAAAGGAGATGCTATTTTGCTGATAGAGAGCGCCTACTTTAAAAATAAGAACCTTTTTAGCATGCATGTCGTCCTTTTACATCCAATTTAGCATTGATTTACAAAATTAGAACATCGTTGAATCCAGCCCCTTGGCAGTCACTTTACTCAAGTGATGGTTGAAACTCGCATACGGTTGCGAAAAACTTTAGATTACCAGTTTAAACTTTCTTACTTTCTCATACATTATCGATAGATGTTATGTTATATCAAGTCCATCTTACCAATTGTTGTGATCTCATAGAGAACGATGCCAAATGACCATCTGAAACATCGAGTTGAAACACACATCGTTAATAGAAAATGGCATCTCAAGATTAAGTAATTCAGCTAAAGGACGAATTTGTGATACATTACTGGCTTGGTTTCTGCTGAAAATTCAACAAAAGGCAAAGTATCTTGCACAGAAGAAAATAGTGTCAGTACTTTGGCTACACAGATCATAGGTTCTGTTTTAAAAAATGCGTTTCAATTGTTGTTTAGATAGCGATGACTCTATATAATTGATTTAAATAAAGGTTTATAAAAGTCTGATGTAAGAAGCAAAAGATATGATAAATAAGATTCATCTAAAATACCAAGAAAATGAAGATTACTGTATGCTCAAAGCAGTACTGGCAGGGTTGCACACGCTGCGGTGCTTAGAATATGAAAGCTCTAAGTAACAATGCTAAGGTTAATATGCATGCACTTACACATCACTTCTGAAGGAGGAGACTCCGTGAAACAGAGATTCATAAGCCATCCATTTGATTGGCAGCAACGCCTAAAATTTATGGTTTAAATGACTGAACCCACAAAGCGTTGCATTCACACGAACAACTACCGAAATGATTGCTATATTAAGACTGTTCCTCAACTTTGGCGCATTCTCATCACTGCGTACAAAGATTGGAATACTTTTACAAATTAATTCTAAAGTGAAGTTTCTCGAAAATTTTAAAATTTCAATTCAATAGAAAAAATAAGAAATAACTTTTCTTCAATTTTTGGCCCAATTATCGAGAAATTGAAAATTTCAATTTAATAAAAACGAACGAAAAAATGAAAAATAATGGAAAAAGACTTAATCCCGACAGACCAATGAATAAGTGACAATTTGGACTCTGAGTATAATAGGTAACTGAATTTTAGATTACGTAAGAAAAATTTATATCAGTTAGAATAAACCGGACGAAATTCACCGTCAAAAGGATTACTTTCGCGAATAACCGTGCAGTTGCTCTTCTGAAGAGAATAATAGTTAGTAGGTTATTGCCAGAGAAACGTTTCTGATAAAAGGGAAATTACTTTTCTACCTGCTTTTCTCGCTGATAAATTCCAGAGGCCTCACATGGTTCCCTTGCAAGCCCCAGATCTGATATTTTGCATACGAACTTTCCTTGGTGTGTGCCAACAAGAATATTTCTACAAGCCAAATCTCGATGTACGACCTACCAAATGAATTCATAGACTTTGTCAGCGATATGTAGTAAAAGTGACTAAAATGGAACAAAATACTCTGGTTTTGTACTTTACAAATATTTCCTTGGCCATAGAAAACTTCGACGATTGTTTAGAAACCAAATTAACTTATTGTGAAAGAGACAGGGCAAATAAACGGACAAGAAACAAAATTTCACAAAGATCAGTGTTTGAAAACTGTAATTTAAGTATCGCTTAAAATGTTTACATGGAACTCCTACATACTGATTATTACTTACAGTTGTACTATGATGTTCTTTGTAATACCTGCTTTCAACTTCTGCATTGCATGTCATTGCTTAAGATTTTATATTTTGAAAGCAGTCGGCCTTCTTACTGATTAGTTTTCTTCACAAACATTGAAGTGATGTGATTTCAGACTTTGAACTTTTTTACATCTTGGAAGCTGACTACCTCTTGCTTTCAAAAATCATTAAAAAGTAATTCTATTGCAGCCAAAAAACATATTTCACAAATAACTTTAAGTTAAAAAAAATGATCGTGAATCTGCATAATTTTTGCAATGTTTCCTTTGACTTACGTTTTGAGAAGCTATATGACTCATGCCATCAGCAACCATGTATGCGAAGTCAATCAACTGTCTTGGGCTGAGCGATGTCGAATGAAGGACACACCCAGCAGTCCCATCATACCCACGTAATTTTCTAAGAAAATCAAGCAAGCTACCCTGACGTAAGAATTCCAAAATGATGCTTTGCGTGCCTGAAAATATAAAAACAGGTTCATTTGTGTAACGCTTTTGCGACCATATTGGAGTATTTTTTTGGTACCACTTTTAGATCGTTTAACATATTTCATTTATCATTCGATTTGAAAAAGAACTGAATATAATTATGATTATCATTATCATTTAATTCGATCTTTGGCAAAGAACTACAACCAACAGGCTTGTGCCGAACTAAAACCGTAAAAACTTCTGATCACTCCAGTTTCAATTTTGGATCATTCCAAGCCTCGATTCTTTACATGATATATTAATGGTCTCGTGTTTGCACAAGGAAAATCTGATGCTAATCACAACGATCTGCTATTGTGGCGCATAAAATAATCAATATAAAAAGACAATACGTTCAAGACTGGTTTCTACATTACTCCATTGATACTTAGATCAATTAGAAAAACGATACCTTCAGCAGTGCAGCACCCAAGGAGTCGAACTACGTTTTGGTGAAATTTCAACTTTTTCATTATCCCTAACTCCGTTTTGAAATCATCTCTGCTCTTTTCTGTTGCGCAATCTGAAAAATGAAATAGAATTAATAAATTATTTTCTTAAGTAAAGAAGTCCTTCGAATTTGTACATGAAGCATAATTTCTTGATAAGCTATGTTAACGAGCATAGCATTTTATAGGACTTTAGGGCAAACCTCGTTTTATTTTAAAATTATACAACAGTCTGTTGCTTCAAGCGAGGCAATTTCCTCCGAAGTTAGTATGCTGAACTGGGCACGGTCAAATATATTTTGCCTTGCTGCTTTTCAATTTTATTCATTTAGCTTAGACAATTGTAAACATGAACTGAATGGGTAAAGGAAACGTTTATAATCCGCGAAATTCGAGTTTCAGAAATTTGACTTCGTAACAATTAGATTCCCAGGTTACTTCAACACATTTTTTTGCGAAAAGTCTTCTAACTTGGGTTTAGCGTTGAGATTACATTTTACCTTACAATACAAACAGATGTACAACTGAAAGATCTTGTCTAAATGGCAGCTGACAGAGGAAATAGTTTCATTTGCTCTGAGATTTCAAGTCTTTTTTGAAAAACTTGGGCGAAGATTTGCCAAAATATTAGGCAAGCTTTTTTGTAACCTAATGAATGCTAAATGCTACTATACTGTTTAAATGAATTTCAACAGGAAGGATGGATTCAAAAAAGGTTATGTGTAAAATTGGTCTTTAGTGCCCCCCACCGCTCCTAGAGTGCGATTCCACGGCACCCCAGTCTCCCAGATGTCAATTGAACATTTATTGTAATAGCTGCTCCAGTAGCATGGTGGCTAGAACGGTTGCTTCTCTACACTGTGGTCGGACATACTAGTTTGAGCCTCACTGAAGACGATACAGAAATCAATTTAGAGGCCAGAGAAGCCTAGGCACAATGCCTCTCAAAAATCTTGGTACACTAACGTCAGTTTTCAAGGGTAAATTCAGAATGTTGGTTTACTACAAAACGACGTAGAAGATTATGGAAGTACACTTTTTTTCTGCAACTTCAATGGTATTTTTCTAAATTATTGACATTGTTTAGGGGGAAGGAGGTGGGGAAATAGGAGTATTCGGGAAAAGAATTGAAAAGTACAAAGATACAACGCAAATTGATGGGTGTTCCAAGTACTTTTGACAATGATTGTACTTTGTTAGAAAGAAAAACCATAATACCTTTCAAAACTTTGACCGCAACTTGAGATGTGCCTTTATTTCCACAGATTTCTAAGGCATTAGCGAGGTAAACTATGCCAAATTCACCCTCACCAAGGGTTTTCAATATTGTTATTTTATCCATTGAAAATTCATACTCGTCATCTGGAATCTCCAAGTACACAGGTTCAGCTGAAAGATGACATCGCAAGAATCAAATGCGTACACAGAGATACTAACTTGGGCATCAAACACTCTAAGAAACTAGGGTGTCAAAACTGCCTATACATTTAGCTTGAAGCTTAAGACGATTATAAGCCGAGTCGAAACGGACATATATATATTCTTGGTATAAGCTGCTAACACCATGACATGGTCAACGTCACAGAAATATAACCCTAATTTTCAACAGTTTATTCATACCTTTATTTAAGTTTAAGTGTCGATGCCAATATCTAGCTGGATGTTTCGAGAAAAGTGATATATTATAGAATATATCTTTTTATCGATGTTATGATAGTAGGGCTCATTCTTTATAAGGCTAAAGTCTGTGAATTCCACATTCATTGCAATGAATGTGTCTTATTATCTGTGTCGCTATGAAATTACAATCTCTCATTATTCATTTTGTTTGTTTGCTTGTTGACCTTTTCATTTGATTATGTTAAATAAGCAGTATATTTGAATTATGTTTAATTTACAAAAACACAACTATGAGTATAGAAATTCTGATTAGCAGGAAAATGCCTCCACCTCTTTTGTAAGAGAGATGATGAATAAAGATAATGATTTAACGAAAGATTCTTATCCGCTTCAAAAAAATTTCTTCATGGCTGCTTTATCAAAGCACGGAGATCAATTCGAAACCAAAACACATCAAGATTATATCAATTGTAATCAATGCACTCCAACCCATCCAGGGACAGATTTAAGCAACAATGATTGGAGGGGGGTTAGAAGCTAATTTGATTTTTTCCCACACCCTTCAGGTCACTGGTAATTGATGGAGACGTCTATTTTCAAAAATAAAGTAAAATCTTGTCGTTATTTTGTTACTACTGACTACCAAGAAATGATTTCCACCGAATTGAAGCAAAATTTGCCGAAAGGAACAGAAACATTGGGAGTTTCCCCCGGAACGATTTTTGCGGTCAATTCCCTTACAACTTTTCAAACTTCATTTCTCCGTAAAACCTAAAATACAAGCTGAGACAATATGAAAAATGGTATCCCGCCTAAAATTAGGGCGATAAAACCAAATCTGAGCTTAAAAAAGTCGTATAATTAAGTTTGGAGAAATTTCCAAAATGAGGTCGTAAGTCGAATTGGTGTATTGAAGCAAAATTTTCCGAAAGGAATAGAAATATTGGGAGTGTTGCACCCCCTACACTCCCTGCTAAATTTGTCCCTGAACCCATGATAAAGAAACGAAACGAAACTCTAAACTGAGTAGATTCATTATGTGAAAGGTACCTTCCTCGTCTAATTTGATGCCACCGTTGTAGATTGCATTTTGTTTCTTGTGTCTTTCATCGGAGAGTGCCTGCAAATTAAACGCAAATTAAGAGTGCTGAAAAAGGCAAATCAATATCTTTTGATATGCATAAAACCAAACATCATTGAAGAATCGTTCGCCTCTTTAGTATAGAAATAGGGACGGGGCTTCAAGCATCAAGCAGGTTTGGATACCAAGAACGTGAACTGACAAATGCAGAGCCTGAAATGCTGCATAGAATAGAGTTTTGTTTGGTAGAGTTTTAGCATAACAAGAATAGTTAGAAAATTAAACTGAAATACATAGATTGATAGAATGAAATACATTCATTATAGACTCTTGGAAAAGTGCTGGTAATTGTGCAAAAAGCCCTAATTTTTGTCGAATCTTTGGCATTGGGGGGAACTGCCGCTAGTGAAAAAGGGGAAAAGGTGAAAATGTTTGACAAGCACAAGAACTGCTGATTGCAAGAGCTACAAAACATCAAACTGCTGATTGCAAGACAAAAGACCTCTCCCAAGAAGAACAGCACCTGAATGTGTGACTTTATAGAATAATCAGGATATCAACCCGAATTTCCAATTGAAGAGTATGATCAGACAGGATTTGAATTGTAAAAGCCGGAAAACGTACCGTTTTATTCGCACTGAGACGACCATACGAGTTTGCTCTGCTCCCTCTTCTCCATCTGACAGTGACGTCATCAGCAGATGAACCCCTTTTACGTTTTTTGACAACGTATCTTATCAAAAATATCCCCGCAATAAGGACAACCAGGGCAACTGCCCCAGCCAAAATGAATGTCACTTCATTATTGCTCCTATCACTACTTGTGCTGTCTGTAAAAGAGAATGGAACTGCTTCAAAATCAAACCAACTCATGTATTATCTTAACAAGTTTATTCGATAGATTAAGACGTAATGGGTGCTTTTTGAAGTCACTTTAAAGGCCATTTAAGTATTCTGGTTATTATCGAGAAAGCGGGTGAATCACGGCGAGCTGACGACTTTGACGTCACAGGGTCACCAGAAGCAACTTATGAGCAACAACTAAACGGGTAATACGACATTTGCAATGAAAGCAACTTTCCAAATCGTACACAACAATCTTTTAAGCCAGTAAAAAATGTAGTTTCGACTGGAGGGAACTTGGTAGGCATTTATTACCTAGAAAAAGCATGGGACTATTAGTAGCCAAAACACTTTGCTGCTTCACAAGGACAGCTTCTTTGGCGAAGGGGCTGCTCAACAAAAGTTCTAAATTCATTACCAAAAGAGACGTTGTAAGATAGAGAGGAACTCATTCCAATAAATTCTCTGCAAGATAAAAACCGTTTGAATGGTCCTAAAAACAAGATTCACGAGTAAAGAACTAAGAAAGAGGTATGTTATTAATATATCCATACTTAGAGTGGATTTTGAAATCATCGGCTTTGACGTCGTGAAAGAATGTGAAATTGACGATGAATGTGAGGTCGTGGAAGTATGTACTTTCTTTGTAGAATGCGTTGTTGGCTTCGCAGTTGATGTTGTTGATTTTGAAATAGCAAAATATATGTTTGTTTCTAGCCAAGGACCAGTACCAACAGAATTTTTGGGCCTGATCTGCAATTGAAATTACTATTTTTTAGCTAAACTGTTAATATTAAATAAATAAAGGATCGCATTCTCTCATTTTAATAGTTTCATGATCTCTCGAATGCTTTTGTTTTCTTTGACTGGTATTTTCACTGCCACAGAAATTTAAGGTCAATCCTGTTTACCTGTCTGTCATAAATTGCTTGATACCGTAGGCAGAGCTGTTAGCTGTACAAGCTCTGGTGTATAGAGCAGGACGGATTTAAACTGTGACTTAGTGCAGTCATGTTTTAAACACCAAAGAAGTAAAAAATTCAGGTAGATAGGAGGAGGAATTGGTTGATGGGAGCAAATATGACAAGTGGACGGCAGACGAGCGAATTCGTTCGATTGTGTGTCTTGCAATCTTGCAGCTTATTGAAAACAAAGCCGGTATAGTGCGAATTATCCTATCAGTTTATTCTGATCAGGATATGAATTCAACTATTGCCGAACGTTTGATGAACTGATTACAGTAGAGTTTCAAGATTGCAAAGTTTCAGTTTCTTATATTCCATCTGGATAAAGCACCAACCATTTCTTTCATACACTATTCCGAAATAAAGCGTAGAGATTTACCTTGCATGTAATGTTCCCAGCAACTTTGACTTCAAACGAAACTTGTGGCAAATGGCTAAAGCGTGACATGGTAGCATTGCACTTTGCTTCGTACGTAACATTGTCGTCCCTTATAAACTTCGGTGGGTCCCAATGAAGATTAAGATGGCTGTGGTTCTGTGAGACTGTTATATGGCGGACTGGAGAAGGCACTAAGGGATGAAAATTTATGAAATGGTGAAGCGAGGTAGGCCTATCTCTTTAATAGCTATGTTACATTAATCAGTTCATTGCAGTTTATTCATCTTTTACTTCAATTTCACTAGAAAATTCCTTGATTTTATGTATTTTTTTTACATATTTAATCTAATCTTCATCTGATACTCTTGAGAGTGTTACACTAAACAATTGTATGACACCAAAATAAGTATCGATGCATATCATTTTTAAAAATAAGCATTACAAATTAAGTTCACCGAAATGCAATATGCCGACAAAATCATAATTGTAAACTAACTTATGCTGAAAAAATCGCATATCGGGAATTACTGAAAATAGTCCCAAGACATTGATCCAAAGAGAAAAGGCCTCACAGGGGGAGAGCACTCAATACTGATGACAATGGAAAGCCATTTTTCCAAGGAGCCTTAAAACCAATACCTATCACGATCTATTATAAAGAATATTTACAAGATCGTAGGCATAGGAACCGGGGGGGGGGGTACAGAGGCAGCGTGCCCTCCCCACTTTCCAGAAATTCCAGAAAGCCTCTATCCCTAGTCGTTGAAAGACATTGTTCATGCATGAATCATAAAGAAACTATATAATCAAGCATAAATCTTAAAGAAACACAAGAATTCTTACCACCTGGCTTTGTTCTGAACTTTAGTCGAACAAACGACCACTTGCTTTTGCCTGCAACCTCTGAAACATTGTTTCCAGAATAAATAACAATTTCATATTGTGTAAATGCAGTTAAATTTCTTAGCTGGACAGACGTTACATTGAATGTCTTGGTAGATGGCTGATATTGTATTGGAATACAGTCTATTTGATTGCCAACGCAAGATAAAGAGTACCACAGATCAAGTTCTCCTGGATCCACCGGCTTTTTCCATGTTATGATTCCCGAGGTGTTGCTTAGGCCATCAATCTTCACATCAACAGGAGCTGACGGCAAGGCTACAAATCAGAGTAGAGAAAGTTGAAAAGAGAAACCTGATCAAAATTAGAGAAGGAATTATCAAGCATACTTCTAATGGGCATTCTTACATGGCAAGAAGGTAAAATGACAGAGCAAGAAAGAAAAGATCTGACATACCATGACAGTCTGCATTGTAATCAAGTTCTCTGTGTCCTAACCGGTAATGGGCTTGTTCACAAGGACATTTCACTGCTGGCTTGATACTGATAGAATTTTCTCCACACCTTCCACAACCTTGATTGCCAGCTTTTGTTTTGAAATAGCCAAGCAAGCATTCTAAAGCATGGAAAAAAGCTCCTATTAGCCTGATGCATTGATTCAGCTTAGAATGGTGGAAAAAAAACATTCTCGATACACAAACAGAAAAAAGTATCAAGCCAAATAAGAGCTAAGACGAGAAAACATTAAATAAATGGAAATGAATTTTGAAAGAATGAATTTGAAAATGGCACAAAACAACGGGAACATGGCATACGTCGGATAATGACCGAACGTAAGCTGAAAATTTACATCTAATCTTGACATGAAAATTACTTCAGTTTGCCTTGCTTTCTTGTTGTGTCACCTTTTCGCTTTTGGCAAGCTTGAGCAAGTTTTGGCAAGTACTTCGCCAGCTCAGGGGCGGATCCAGAGCAAATTTGAAGGAGGGGCAGTTGGTAGTTGGGGCGCTGAAAAATTTTCAAATATTGGTAACGTGAGTACGCTGAATAGAACAATTTCAGATACCTTTTGAGAATAAAGAACATAACTTTGAGGTAATCCCTGCCCCTAGTTGCCCCCCTTAAATCCACCACTGCGCCAGCTCATACCCAATCCAAAGATACTGAATAAGGCAGAGGTAGGGCTAGGGAGCTTGTGTTATTTTATAAAATTGTTTGATCGTCATTAATTGAAAAGGGGGAGCAGTTGAGAAAAGGCGCTTACTTGAGCACTTATGTAAAGACCATGACTCACCATCACATTTCTTCCCAAATTTCTCATACCCTGCTCGGCAAATACATTCTTCGTTAGTGTGAACAGCACCAGTCCAACGGCAAAGCAGTTTGATGCTCGAACCAGGGAGTTTTTGAATAGCATTCTGTATGCACTCTCCAGGTATCTCGATCTCAGCCGTTGTTGAATTAGGGGCAACCGTAAAAGGAAATTTCACCAGCTTGCCATATATTTCTGTTAAACAAGTCATATAACTGACATCAACCCTGTAAATCATACCACAGAAACCAAGGTCTCTCATTGCCAGGTACAATCCTGCTTTGTTTTGCATTTGAACTTGAAACGTTACTGTATATGTCTGCAACTTATAGCCTAAGGTAGTTGTATTCTTGGCAATGCCTATGTAATTATATTTATATTTTGCAGGAGTCGGAACATCAATGTCTAGCTTCTGCGACACCAGTCCATATACATCGAAGAACAGTTTGCAGTTGCTATCCAAAAGAGCGCAGTTTCTCATTGCAAACCCGATTTCAACTTTCACTTGATTTGCAGGATGGGTTTTAATAAATGGTATGATAAGATATCCATCAGTGACCCCATCATTCATCGAGCATGCTTCATAGGCACTCCCAGAATAGCGCCACTAGAAAAGAAAAGGTGGATACATCAATGAAAAACATTCTGGGGGATCATTCACAAAGTACGTAGGCAAATGTTTTGAAATTTTCAGTACCGCCCCCTTTGTGTACTTACTCTTTAATTTGAACCCCCCTTTGCAATTTAACAACACCATAGGCACACCAGTCTGCTGATTACTCTGTACTAATGAATCTATATGACATAAAGTGAGGCAACACTGCAAAAAGGAGCATTTTGTAATAAAAGCAACGATACAAAAGATAATCCGTAAATTTTTAGACTAAATTCCATAATAAACTACCTTAATTGTGGTGATGAAATTGTACCTAGTTTCAAGCCCTCATTGCGCAAATGATCTGCACCACAACCCATGGGTTTAGCTTTAAACCGGTGATTAAAACTTATCAGCCCCCTCCCCCTTATTCACAAATATACGCTTTTTGACGAACCCCCCTTTCCTGTCCGGCATACGTACTATGTGAATGGCATGTCGCACCTCTGATGTCACAAGATATGGTACACGATAGGGTGCCCGATGCCCTTCTGTTCGACTTTGGAAAGACCTTGAAAACTTGAAATCTAAAACATTTTCAGTTGTCAAGTTCTTTAGCCAAATTCAGTTGTCAAATTCAAGTTCTTTAGCCAAATTCTACAAACCTTGTTTACAGCACCAGATCCACTTGGAATCATTTTCCACGTGGGGAAGGCAGGAAGAGCGACATGCACTGAAAAACAAATTTGTATAATTTTTAGATATACATTTACAAGGACACGTTAAAAAATGAGAAGCGTAGCCACCTTTTTACGCTTGTACATCTTGTTTACAGGATAACTATTGAGGCTGACTCAATTTCCATCTTATTGGTCATGCGCGCGCTGTAATCTACCTCGCATGTTTTTTTAAGGCCTCGTTCCACAAGGCGAATTTCTTCGCGGCAGCTATCTTGGGGGAGGGGGAATGGGGAGTAAGTTGATAGGTTTGAGGTAGAAGGAAGTGTTATTACTTAGGGGTTACTTTATAGGAGGGAAATAATTAAGATGAAATTTAGCATTAACAAAATGAAGGTCTAGTTAGAAATAAAAATCTCTACACCAAACAAAGTTGCACTTAAAATATTTTCCTAGATTTTACTCTTTATCCCCATTAACTAAACCTAAAAAATAGATTTGATTGCCTGATATAACCAGAAGAGGAGCCCGCGATTAGATGCCTGTCAGGCATTAGCCAATGAGATAACAGAAACCTTGCTGTTGCATATCAGCAGTTTTTGGACTGTATTTGATTACATATTGAAAACTGGATTGCTGCTTTGTGGACACCTGACTTACACTAATGGGTTACCTTCATGCTTTTGGCATGGAGTTATTTTATGTATGAAATATGAGTGATATAAAGATTTTGGTGCAAATGATAATTTTATTTTGTCTTGAAAATTTTTCTTTGCCGTGTGGAATTATGGATTTATTTGCCATCATGTTTGTGGAATTATGGGTCATATTTTGAACCAAAATGGCACAACCTTGTCCAAAACTAGGCTTGGATCTAAGGTGGTTGAAATTTATGATTTTTTAACCTTGTTGGAGATAGCAACTTGTACAGCGTTATCAACACTTTACAAATTGAATCATCGCCTCGGAGAGCAAACAGGGAACACCTAATGCTTTGGGAGCATGTAGGAAACTAGAATAGGCTCTTAGCTGCCGATCAAAACGCCACCTTTCTCAAACTATTAAAACCATTCACCAGATACACTACCAATGCCACGCAATCTCATTACATTGAGTACCAAAAAATCCAGTGCTAAAAAATTCCCGCGGATTAATTTTCGGTGGACAAAATTACCGTCATATAAATTGAATTGAATAATAAGCAAGTACGTCATAAACTCTGTCTTATTTAGAGGACGTCTTTTTTATTTCATGTTCATGGGGCGTTTACAGCTCGCAATGCTTTCGAATGCCAATGGTGACGAGGCGATTAGAAATCCTGATAGATTCTGAATTAAATTTGAGGCGTCCAAACTGAAACCGCAGGAAGGTTAGAAAGAAATAATCGAGAGAAATTATCAAAGGCATTCCGTCCTCTCAGTGAGTGGCCAATTGTAACTTGAAAGCCTCGCATAAAAATAGTGTCTTTCGCTGCCATTCTACGACACTAGTTATTGTGGGTGAACACGACAAAAAACGCCTGATCTTTACATCATTGCCAAAACAAAATATAAAGCAACTCTCTCAGGGAGACTACGTTATGGTGGTTCTTCATTCTGACTGGTTACTTGTACATGCATGAAATCCAGTAGAAGAATCAGCACAGGCCATGGAGAACTCAATATTCTCAAACGTAGAGGGCGAAAGAGAAGAAAGTGAAAATGAGCTGAATATCGTTTTTATTAATGGCGAAGGAGAACCCAAAAATTTTAAAACTGATATGTAATGGGTGTATACTCAATCAAATAATATCAAGGAAAGCATGTTATTTTGTTATTTTGAAAGTCCATCGGGGTGAAACGAGATTTTCATAGTGTTGGAAAACTTCATAGGTTTAAAAAAATTTGATGCGACTTACTTTTGGTTGCCCTACTTGAACGAAAATAAATCCCTCCGAAATATTTGATACTTAACGTAATATAAGCGTAACCATTTTGAATTTATGCAAATCAGTCATTTGCCCTTATAAATCAATGGGAAAGTTTCATGTTCAAAACTCGAGCTCCCAACAAACCTTTACATTTCTCTTATTGTGTTCCTGGTAACTGTCAACCGGTTTACCAAACGAGTGCACCTGGACGCCCCCACCCCCCAGAAACAAAAGACCAAATTGAAATATGTCTTATGGTAGCGCTTAAAGGCATTGAGTCATGGTAAATAGGCCTTCTTTATAGGGGGTCATTTGGTTTCGGCGTGATCGCTGCTGTTTCATGTGATATTTGCATCCGTTGTTGACAACTTGCTATTGATGAAAATTGCTTTGTCAATCAGTACAAGGTGAGTTCATGTGACCAGTTCCAGGTCAGCCAATAGCATTGCAGTCATGAAAATCATGACTCAGCGGATTTTGGCACTTAGGGTATACCCAATCCATTTTATAATGACTCATTGCCTTTAAAGAAAAGCTAAGCGACTAAAATTGATTCTTTACCTTACATGGCAAACATTGAAATTTCAGAATCTGGCCTTTCATATACAGCAACGGAGAGTGAAGTAGGTATGGTTGACTACGTTGTAGAAGATCAGGTTGGTAAACTGGTTTGTGCTAGCCAGGGCCGCCGCTAATACCAGTCATTTTGGTGGTTGATTAGAAAAAGTCGATCAAAATTTCTCTAACAATACGCGAGGGGCGATTCACTCGTGCAAATAACGTACTAAATTTTCCCTAAAACAAAAGGATTTCTGAGGATTTTCAAGAAAGGTGTAAGAGATTTTCTTAGAGTGATTTGCCCCTCGGCAATACAGAGCGAAACGTTCGTTGAAATACACAACGAAAGCTAAGCCAAAAGCGACTTGAATTAAAATAACTAAGTGCAGACGCTTACCTTCTCCACAGCTTCCGTATTGAATAAAACACACTTGTCTAAGTAGGAACAAAGCAGTATACAACCAGAGATCCATTTTTTAGCAATACATTGCCACTAGCAATTTGTCTTAGCAATTTGAGCCTATCAGTTGCAGATAATTTGCCTGTTTTCTACCTGAAACTGAAAAACTCCGGCATCATACCTCCCCTTGACGATATTTTGGTACCGTGACAGCAAATGATTGCAGTTGCTTTTGTTTGCTTTGTTATTTGCTTTTGCATTTTCCGTTAATTTTTGTCTTTGTTTCTGATGCAGTGTTGACAGGCATGACAAATCCTTGCAATCAACAAATTTTTTGATATTTTGCATGCTGCAAGCCATAGATATGAATGGGATGAAGAGCAGGCACTTTGATTTTTATGAAGGACGGGAGAGAAACCAAACTATGACTGAATCCTTTTAGCTCTAGCAAGGAAACCTGGAATATTTGTTTCCATTTTTCTTCCCTGCACAATGTCCAGAAAAATTCCTCCTAAAAACACATCTCTGATTTTGAGAGCGTTTGTACGCCCAAAAACATCCAAGATAGTACCACTCAAAACAACTAAATAAGGGTTTTTTGCCTTTTTATTAATTTTCGTTTATGTAACCGCCAAGATCTTGCTTCACATGGCAATTTTATATATGATACCCGTTTATCAAAATGATGTTGTTGTGTCGGTATTCAATTAATCAGGTGCATTCAATTATAATAAGGGAAAATACATTTCCTGTACCTTAAAAGACAGCAATTTAAAAGTCTATTCAGCAAGACCTCTGTTCCGAAATTGTGTTTGGCGTTCAGACCGCTAGATAAAGACCCACTCATTTATCGACGAATTCTTATTTTCAAGAAGTAAAGCAGGTAACCTTCAGCCACGAGTCAATAGGCAGATTGTAAAAATTTGAAAACTTTCATCACTAGGAGACGATTGAGGTTTTAAGTAATTTCTAGAATTATCCAATATATACTCTTTTATTTTTGTCTTCGCAGAGCAGTAAGAATGATACGCTGATCTAGACAGAAGGCCAAAAAAGAAAACTGAAGATTATTGAGCAATTCAAGAAGGCACTCACGAGCAATCGTCAAGTGTGTTAAACAGAGGTAGCAAACGCGACAAAAGAGTGTATGGCTTGTTGGGCAAAGCAAGGAGATATTCTAAACGAAATTCACAAATATCTACCTGTTACTTGCAAGCTTGTGTTCACCTTTAATTAATTACATGTGCTAACAAAAGCGGTAACAAAACTTTTCTATCTTCACAAGCAAAGTTAACTATGCTTTATATTAAAATACAAGGTTAACCGTTCAAAGACCACTCAATTTAAACCAATTCTGGAGTGTCTTAGTCTTCAGTCCAATTCAAGTGGACTCGAGTCTGTATATCATATTGAAATAAGCAGTGGGTATTTCTACAACGATTGATCGTTCAACCTGAATAATATGAAAACGCACATGATTCGAAGAGCGACACAGCATAGTTATTATGCTTCTCGGCACGACTATGCAAAACATCCACCATGTACACCAACCACTGTGACCAAAACATATTCAAGCAAAGAAGCCGAAATACACCCTGACTGAACTTTTTTGGAATCCCTGTAGACTGTGGTTTACCTATGGCCTCCAGCTCTTTCAGCCTGCTAACTACAAATAATATGAAAGGACGAAACTTATCATAAAAATCTATTAACAAATATGTGAAAAAATGGTACACAGTTTCTCTAGCGATATACTCAATAATAAAAAGTTCTGATACCAGTAGCTGATTGCTACACAGATAGGGATTTGTTCAGAATGACTGCAAGCAGGGTTACATCTCGTTCTTTGCAAATGAAACCCGGAGGTGGTTGGTATCTGAGAGTTTGAAGTTGTGGAATTTCTGCAAAGCAATTGGAACGTTTGAGTCAAACAGGAACGAAACAATGTAAACAACAATGTAAGATCTATTGGCACTTGCAGTTCAGAGAGTGAAAAAAAATTCCAAAATGAACCTATTGTGCGTGTTTTAGGTAGTAACAAAAGCTAATTTCAATAAATTAGGAATATTAAGAGTCCAATCAGAGGCAATTTTTTACAATGCTAATTTCCCCTTTACTAAACCCTGGACTGTAGAATACACTCTCTTATCTCTTCGACATTATCACAGATAGCACGGTGTGACAATATCTAATTCCATTCATTATAATTGTAAACATTCCACAATTTATCCCCACATTGTAACAAAAAAAAAGAGGTTTGTAATGGGATAAACGATGTTCCTACCATCAAAGCTTGACACGCTTCTTCGACCGATGACATTTGCATAAGTGCCATTTTTTTGTCCTTCCTGAAATCAAATAACTCTGAAATGTATATAGTATCGGGAATGGTGCTTGAAGACTTTCAGCACAGTTTCGCATAACACTAAAGCTAGAGCGGGGGTGAAAACATTGGTCCTTAGGGTCATCAGCGGTTCAAAACAATTCTGCAGTAGATAACAGCGCATACTAACATCTAATAGCACAAATGTAAGGTTTAGGAAAACAAAGAACTTGCTAGTCTATTGCAACTTCTACAGTGAAAACAAAGTAGCCATTACATGCTTGTCAACCCAGCTAACTATCAAAAAACCAGCACCTTTTCTGAAGATTCTAGCGAAAAGGCTTTTTCAAATTATCGAGTCCTGGTGCTTTCAATTTCAGTCCTGGTACATTCAATTTTTTACCCACAATTTATGGCGATCGCAGACATTTGACATCAAGTTTTCAGTAGTCAGAGATACAAACGCTTAGATTAATGCGATGTAGCCACTAGAGGGGAGATGGGGCTCCTGTCTCTGCAATAAATGCGCGGACTCTTTTCTTAGTAAATCATTTCTTAGCACCAGCCTGAATGTTTCCTATATTATAATTCTTCTTGTATTTTCAAATACGAGAATATGATGTACAATTATATGATAAACAGAAAAGACCTTGCTGGAACTGCATGCATAATTTGGAAGTTAAATTATTAGTTATCCACGGGACAAAAGGAGTGTCTTTGACATTTAAAACTCTAATGACACACTTGTAAGTCACTAAAGCAGTTATCTGTCAATATTTTCTCTTGCACTTCATAATGGTCTGTAGAAAGACAAAGTATCAATCAACAGATTTGTCAAAGTGCTCTTAGATGTTGCTATTTGCTATTCGTTTATACCCAGCATCCGAAGGTAGGTTTTTAGGACATTGAGAATCTTATGCTAATCGAGCAGTGTCCTGGTCCTTCCTCTCGATGTGACCACACCTCGTGATTCCTACGCTTGGAATAACAGAGAGCTGGCAACTCTCCTCACTCTGGGTGTAAGTTTGGTTATGTCAGGGACTCGAACCACGGGCCCTTCTTGGATCTGTAGTCAGCGCCCCTAACCACTGAGCCATCCTCGCACTCCCTCAAGCTCTTAGGTGTCAATCAAATCACTGGAGACGCGATCAGAAAACTTACGGGAAAAATCTGAAATTCGCCACCGCCCCGTAGCTGCCAAACAAATCCTCCAACTCTTCTCCGGTTGTCTCTTCCCTTTAAAATAAAAAAAACACCAATCTCTATCAACCTGTTGCTCCTTAAGAACGGCCCTAAATGTGGATGCCTGTGAACAAATGTGGGACAGCCAAAGGATCTTGCGACAAAAAGGGAAACATTGAAAGCATGCTCGCTGGATCAAAAGGGCAGTGCAAAAAGGACGCCAAAATAACAGTTTATAGTCTTCATAACGAAGCTAAAGAACTACAAAAGCATACGTAAGAATATCCATTAGCTTTGGGCTTCCTAGTAGAATGCTAACAGCTATCACGATTCGTCCAAATCAGAACACGTTAGTGCATGAGCTCCTGTTGACTGACAGGTCCAGTGAAATTCACTCTTTAACGACTAATTACATACAGTAGAATCTTTCACGATTCCTTACACAATCTTCACTCTGTGTGTCAGGACAACAGCACATTTAGACAAGGCGATTCCACTGCCGATTTTAAATTTAAATGTAAAGTAGCTTTAAATTAGCACGGTGAAATGAAAATCATAACCATCAAATGTTGAAATTTGAAAAAATTACTCACGGTATGTTTGACAAATGGAGCGTTTTAATTGGTGGGAAGATATTCTGGAAATTTTTTGATCCTGGTTTCTAGAGAAACGAAAGCATAAATTTGCGAATTAAAGAAACAACCTCAAACTTCAATTATTACAAAGCAGTGTACATATCTAATGCTAGGTGATTATAAGCACTGCACTGACAGTGAAGAAAGTATAAGTGCATATCAATTTAAACCAATCGTGAGAGTGAAGTTAAAAAATATAACATTATGGTATTATGCCAAAATGTTTGTTGTCCCATTGATATCACATAAAAATACGTCTTGGTACAAAGATAGTAACTTCATCTTCATATACACGCTCTTATCAACGTACATAAAACAGTGACAAAGTGCAAAGACAACTGATTACTTAGTAGGCCAAAGTCGTAGCTGGCTAATCCCTTACCTTGAATCTGTGAAGTGGAGAATCAGAAAAATCTTTCGTTAGTTCTCGGTCCTACAAAAAATTATATGAAAGTATGAAAGGTCTGTTGTTAGTCGTTGTCACTTTAGAAACTTGCCAAAAATAATAAAATTCATTTCACATTAAATTCTGTTGGGTCTGGGAACAATTTAATTACAAGGTTATTGCCAAAATTACGCAATGAAAAATGGGGTATATATTATGCTTAATGCCATATTACGGGATTCTCTCTTTAAAAAACATGCCTATCATATGCCTTCATAAAACAGTGCAAAGGAGAGGCGTCCCCAGCAGACCTGGCAATTTGAGAAGAGTCATAGCTCTTGTTCCACACCCAGCTCCCTATAACGCTGGAGGAGAGCTACAGATTGCTCTCCTAAATTGTTCTAAAAATCGAATTTGCTCTCCTTGAAATCAATTTTCGTTTTTTTTTCCTATTCCTATAGCTCACCTGAATACTACTAGGAGAGCTGTTTACTGCCCCCCCCCCCGGTAATAGTCTTACGACTAGGCCTAGCCCCAAGGTGCCTTAACATCATCCCAGCCTTCCAAAATCGTGACCTTTGTAAGTTAGTTTAACTCTTACCACGTCTTCATCTCTTGGCATATTGACAGTTGTATGTTTTGATTTTGAAACCCGTATCTCCTTACCAAATATGCGAATGCCATTCAGATTTTGTTGTGCTGTAAAAGAACAAAGTTTTAAACTAACTTGTTCATTTTAGATAAGAAGCAATAAGTTGCTATAAATAACGCGCTGGATGTTTGTCGAAACGTAAAATTATCCTGCAATTACGAGTTTATAGAAAGAACCATGAAGGAGAAATGCATGTTAGTACACCGAAGGAGATGCTTTTAAGCCACAAATGCTTTACAAAAATTAAGCTAGCCCTGTGGCCGAAATCAAGACGACAAAACACTAGCGAAGAAAAGAGAAAGTGACTGTAATAGAAATCACAGGGAAACGAGCATGCCTTGCATAGCAAAAAGTTACGGAAAAGCGTCTATATATACATATATACATACATATATGCGTTCCCCTCGACCCACCTCACAGTGTACTCATTCTAAATCACAGCGTACACAAAAATGAAGACAATGACAATGGAAGCAAGACAATGACAACGGAAGCAAGACAATGACAACGGAAGCAAGACAATGACAATGGAAGCAAGACAATGACAATGGAAGCAAGACAATGACAACGGAAGCAAGACAATGACAATGGAAGCAAGACAATGACAATGGAAGCAAGACAATGACAATGGAAGCAAAGAATGATATCTGAATTCTTTTCTAACCTGTTTGGGCTTGCATGCCATCTGCGAATTGGATGAGTGCACTGTCCTTTTTGTTGAACAAAATTTTCACGCGGTGCACATCACCATAATGCCCTGGTATAGAAAAGAATTATTACAAATAAAGCCACGCTAAGTTTTGCTCTAAAAACAACTCAAATTCATCATTGCCGCTTTGAAAAGCCAAGAAATGAAACGGCAACTGAAAAAGTTAAGAGATTTCTGAAATGTAGGGGAGAAAGACGAGGTTCTTGAGGTGCATCTAGCATGAATCTAGCTGCGCTGTGTTAGCAAAATCAAGCGATTGTATTTTCAGCAGGTGGTTTAAGCTCGGTTGTATGATGGCTAAAGGACATTTGGAATGAATAAATGGTAGAATTTTCAGTTTTTGAAATGCAAAGTATTTTCAGCAAAGAGAAACTAGAGAAAAGAACCACATTTGCAAGAACTCTCAACCTGGTTATTGATGTCTAAATCAATCTGAAAAAGATCTGCACAGCAAATTGTGGTTTGGGCCAATCTGGTTTTAGGCGTATACAAAAGGTTGAAGTTTAAACAGAAAATGGTGAAAAATAAGACTGCATTAAGGGAGGCTTTAAATAGACTTGAAATGATAAACTTTCAAGGAATAGTTCCATATCTTTGAGATGAATTAAAAGCAGACCAACTTCAGTACAGACCTACATTGATAAAAAAAGTAAGAAATTTCCTGTCAGAAAAAATGCATAAGAAAGATTAGAGGTAAATTGTTGGATTTAGTGAAAGTCTTTCATCATAGCAAGCGAAATGACTGTTTTCTAGGTGTATTTTTTTAAATGAGCAGTATAAATTTAGGACAAAGACAAGTTTGAGCTGGAACAAAACCTGAAATGACCGCCTGAAATTGGCACTGCCAAAAACTGGGAATAATGTACTTCAGAGCTCCTTCCAAGCATTTAGAGAGAAAAGTTTAAAGTTTGTTTTTATCATTTAAGAAACAAAAGCTGTTTAAAGAGCAAAAAGGCTGCAAGAGAAGAAACGACATTGGCGATTAAAGTCAAGGCAAGATGAAAAAAGAACATACCAAAAAGAATGAATAAATCATCACAGGAGACTTGCTAGCGAGTTCAAGGGAGAAAGAAAAAGTAATCATTAATCAAGAATAGATAGAGGAACTATTTCTTAGAGATTTGAAAGAAAAGCAAATTAATGTACACAAATGGACAAATGGTTAGTCGATTTTCACAGCTAGTACAATTCAGAGATCTATATGCTGCATCACTATTCATGCTTTCTTTAAATTATAAATTAAATCAGAAATTATTTCAAAATCACATTGGAGAACTGATTTATCAAAGATGCACTGCAGATTTGACTCATCGTTTAACGCGATTGAAGCTTTCAAAAGATATCAAACATCGACGAAAGAACCAAAATAAGAGAAATAGAAAACGCAAGCGAGGATTTTTTTACAGATTATTTGCACGTGTTATGTTTAGGAATCAACAATACTTATTAGGAAACTTTCTTGACACTTAGAGACGAATGCCAGCCTTTCTAGATGGTTTAGCTGTAACTGGTAAATCTTGATGTAACTAAACACTTGCTGCTGACCAAAAAAATTGACAAACGAACGGGTCATTTACATTCAACTGATAGATGGACAAAACCATCATAATATACTTTTTGCTGCTTCAAAAAAGGTGTTTGGAATTTTTCTGAATGAGAGTAAATATACGCAGGAGAGGAAAAGGGTGCAATTTTTTTTTACAATATTGACAAAAAGATAAGCCAAAAAAAATTAGAGAGAAAAACAGAAAACTTGAACACCTTTCTTTATTTCGTATCTACATTCCAAGCGTAAAAAAAAATTCTTTTAATCGGCTGGGAATGGAGTGTTAGGACAAATTGCTAAGGTGCATTTATTAGGCACCTAAGATCAAGTGTTGGAAAACTGTAACTACTGGAGAACCTTTATCGAGGCACGTCACAGCACTGGAGCACAGGATAATTTTGACAATTGTCGCTCAAGAGCTGGTAGTGCTGCAAGTGGTGGGACAAAAGGAAAATTGCTCACCTCTTCGTCCAAATTGCTCACAAACACAACACTTCCGCCTTGTCTCATATAATTGCCTTGTGCCATGTGCTGATTCGAACCAAGTGCAAGACCATGTAGATTTGCAACTATTAGGATAGACAATCAATGCTTTGTGATACAGTTCTAATTTCTACTTCCACTGCATTGTGTGCTAAAGTCGGGCTAAGGATAAAAATTTATGTTTGCAAACATCCTTCAGCCCAATCTGGGCAACACCAGGACAAAATTCAATTAAAGTGATTCAAACAAATAGAGATTCGTACAAATATTTGGTCCGCCTTGTCTCATATAATTGCCTTGTGCCATGTGCTGATTCGAACCAAGTGGAAGACCATGTAGATTTGCAACTATTAGGATAAACAATCAATGCTTTGTGATACAGTTCTAATTTCTACTTCCACTGCATTGTGTGCTAAAGTCGACTAACGAAGGATAAAAATTTATGTTTGCAAACATCCTTCAGCCCTATCTGGGCAACACCAGGACAAAATTCAATTAAAGTGATTCAAACAAATAATGGTTCGTACAAATAATTGGTTCTGGTAAGATTCGTACAAATGATATGTTTTTTAATGACTGTAATACAGAGTAAAAGACCACAACAAGAGACATGAAGCCTTGCAAAACTATTGATTCAAGAAACATTGCATGTTAATCACCAGGAATTATACAATTAATATACGGGAATGATTCACTATCAAACAAAACTTACTTCCTTGCTGCAAAACAGTGCCAGATCCAAGAAGAGCCGGAATACCAGTGACAGCAGTTGCACCAAATGGCAATGGCACCAAACCAGCTGCACCTGTAATAAAAGTTTTCCTTCATTTACCAAACATTTGAGCTCCTCTTAAAAAGACCAAGTGCCCTAGCCCCAAAAATGTTCCCTTATATATGACCGTGTTTCAATGAAACAGATTTTTTAGCAACAAAGAAAGGGACTTCAACAGAAATTATGCTTTGCATGTTAGAGAATTTAGAAACAGCACAACGACCATACAAACAAATAGTTTCTGACACTGCTTTGGAAACTCACACTACTTACCAAGGGAAAGGCCAACTGCAGGATCAACTCCACGACCATTTTCAACAGACGGCAAATCTTGCCTGGTGTAGTCTCTAGTCAAGGCAGAATGGAATGACAAATTAGAGCCTTTGGTGGATAATATTACATTTGATTTGATTGTAAACATACAAACAGCTGGATTGTAAGAAAAAGAAAGAAGTTGTGTAAGGAAAGGAGAAAGAGCAAAGGTAAGGGTTGGAAAACAGATGATTTTTGGAAAAAAGATAAGTAGTGGTAAGATCAAACACAAAGAAACACATTTGCATTTGATGGCCTTTCTAAATTGTTCATGCTCAGAATTACAACTTTAACGACTTTGAAAAAATTTCACTCAAACAAGAACACTAACAATTTATGACACAAACAAACCATATATTTCACTTTACTGGCAATCAAATATAGAATGAGCAAATTTTTACTCTGTTTAACTTAAAACTTTACACAGCAACCAGAAAATAACTTCTTCAATAAATTATTTATCGAAAGTAACCCCATACTGGAGTTTCATTTTCACTGCCAACGACAAGTGAGTGTTGGAACAGGGAAATTCCCATGGCATATTCAAGATTATCTATCCCTCTTCATTTAGTGGGCCACATTTACTCCCGATATTCTTATAAAGTAGAATCTGCCTAGTAAATCAGTGTGTAACTAGTTACACTGAATTTGCAAAAGTGTGGCCAAACAACAAAACCATAGTCACCAAAAACAACTTATATGTTACCAATAACCATAACTTGATGTACAAAAAAAATAAAATAAAAATTTGCTAGTCCAATGAGGGTAATTTGCTATCTTAACCCCTTTCAATTTAGGTGAATGCCAACATAAATGCACAGCTTGCTATTTAAACCTTCATACTTCACGATCAATCAGTTAGCTAGCTATTCAAAATTTGAATTTTATTATAAATTTCAACATTTTCCTGACCCACAGCCATTTTATGTCAGCACTCTGGTGATCCATGCATATTTTTCTTTTTAAATCCTAAAGCATCTACCTAGACAGATTCTACTTTTGATCTGATGTGTTTACAGGTAAGTGGAGTATTGCCAGACTTTAACACAGCTAAAAGCTTCAAACAACCAATGGGGAACTTAAAGCTAGTAAAACTGACTAACAAAGGCATGCTGGAACAGGTTTCATAGTCTGTCTATGAAGATTGAAATGTTGTTAAAACACGATACATGTATACATCATCAAAAGTGTTTATTTACAAACACACAAGTACCTGCTTTTCTCATTGTTATATTTCACATTCAGGTTAGTAAGTTTTGAAAATTTTATTCTCAGTGTATTGCACCCAGTGTAAATATTCTGCCCATCAAGATTCTGTAAAGAAGATAAAATCAATGTAGAGTGACCGCAGTATAAGATAAAACTTAAAGGTTTCAAAATTACACCTTTCCATGATGACACCTTTTCTTTCTATCTCTCTCTGTCAAATCCAATTGTCCTTTAACGTTTTTCTTTCTATTTACATTTTCTATCTAAACATGATGAGACACTACGCTTGAAATGTTGTTATTTTAAATATCTACGCTTATTTTCCTTGTACAATTTAAAGTTGTTCTAAAGCTAAATTACCACGAAAAAAGAGCAAAATTCTTGGCAAGGAATAAATAAAATACAACAAAATGTTTCAACAATGTTTATATATGTTCAGGCCTGGCCGTTTGTATTTTCATAGGTGAGCTGTGAATTGCTCCCCTCATTTGCTGAGGCGAGCTAAATCAGTAACACATAGAATGTACTTTAAAGACAATCGACAGATGACTTAATAAGCCCCTTTAGTATCTGTTGGTTGCCTTAATGTAATAGCCTCAGTCAGGAGTGTGCTGTTTTACTTCTTTCAATTTGCATTTGCTTTAACCGTGACTTAGGCACCCCCTTTACTTGAAGTATTTGAAAGAACAGACTCTCTCCGTTTTATGTAAAGCTGGCACAACACAAAAACAACAATTCTCTTGCAAAACAATCTTGTTGTTGCACAGTATTTGAAAATGGCTTTAAAAAACAAATTTTGAAACAAACTTAATTATACGTCTAGCACTCTTCAGAGAATAAAACGTCAGAACATAGAAGGAAAACTCTACGCTAAAATACCCAGTTTTGGATCGAAATAGGCCATCAGAAAACGCGAGGACATGACTGTTGAGGTTTTCCAATAAGTGCCCCTTTCCTATTGAAAATGTTACCAACGGAGTCCTAAGGTGAAAACGAACTCACTTATGTCTACACAAAAGCAGTCGGCCATGTTTATATAGTAGATAGATTCACAAACTGCTACATAGATGGAACGATGATCAGGCTTTGCCAATAATGCGAAACATGTCGCCGTTATAGTTTTTCACCCAATCTGGGTTTTTTCAGTAAAAGCTGCTGGATAGTGGAATTCCATGTTTTGGTTGTTGTTTTTGATCTGCAAGACAGAGTACCTTGTTCTCTTTGAGGGATAGTTTTGTTTCTATTGCTGGAAGGGACCTGCTGTCTTATTATATCCCCAATCTACAATTCCTACCCATTTCTTCGACTTTCCTTCCAAAAATATTCCTGTTTTCTTAGGATCGAAAGGTTCTAATCGCTACAAACGACGTTTGACTATTTCGGTTAACGCTACAAACGACCTTTCGGTTAACTATCCTTTTCCAAATAGATCGAAGTTTATGCATATCATAACAAAAACCGCCCAACAAGCAAAAAGTTAATTGCAAAAAATGCAGTGACGGGAGAAATCGCTGTTACAAAAATAAGCCAATTAACCCGGTTTCAGGGTTCTCTGAATAGGAAAAGGGCAAATGAATGGAAATTTTAGGGGAGCGATTCTCCCTTCATGTTCTGTTTAGGAGAGCAATTCATAGCTCGCCTCAGGTTGCGAGGGGAGCGTGGAGGCGAGCGCGAGCTATCGCTCGCCTCAAACGGCCAGGCCTGTATGTTCATAGAAATAAACAAGCTTCTCTATCTCTTCCGCTCTCTTTTATATAATTAGAACATTCTAATGTTGGCTTATCATTGCTAAATGCCCACCTTTTTCCCCTGCTCTGCAGAATGGCCTGACTGGTATTGAACCAAAGCTTGGTATTGGCCTAAAAGAAAAAAAACCTTAATTAAAAATCAAGGATAATTTAAATTTTTTCAAACAATAAGTGGGGAATATCTAAATGTAAACATGATTAAAATGGCAAAAAAAGACAGGCAAATCTGAAACTCACCACTTCTTGTAAATGTGACAATTTTCAAAATAGTTCCATATTTGGAGAATATCTGTAGACAGAGTAGAAAATCATTTTAGATACTGAAAATTCAATGATAACAGATTTGGTAAAATTTCACAGATAGTATGGAGTCAAGATGCAGAACAAGGCAAATTTTTCAAGTTTTGTTTTGAGAATCACAGATTTATAAGAGTAAAACAAATAAAAAGTTCTTAAAAATATATTCATAAATAATATTTTGATTTTGCTCTCTCAGTTTAAACCTTTGACACAAAAGCAAAATTAATGATAAAAATCTATTTGCATATTTTTAAAATGAAGCAAAGGAAATCATGATAATACGCTTGAAAATGTGCATGACTCACTTGATGCAAAATATCAACTGTGACTGGGTAGATCAAATGTTCAATTGTTACATGAAGCACTGTATTTGAGGATGACTCTGAGTTTTCAGATGCAGCAGCAGTCAATGCCTGGGATGGATTCGAAACAACAAGCTCCTTGTGCTTTGAGAATTGAATGTAAACTGGTTGTGACCTGAAATATAAAGAAACTCTCTTTACAATGCGAAATAAATACAACAAATATATATACACTTAGTGAGCAAAGGTATTGCACAGTTTTGAGAATTTAGTTAATGGCCACCACGTTGTCAACAACAGAGCGATCAAAATTCAAACCACTTTGCTCATTAATGCTCTTTGCATATATAGATGTAATGAAAATTACTGTATTACCAGTGTGACAATAAGTGCTTGATGCAATATGGGCAGATCTGTACACACGGTTGCCTGATGATAACACTAAGCATGACGATAACAATCTGAGTTGCAACTTAAAACACCAAAACCCATTATATAATTCACATATGCATGTGTAAAAATTACATTTTCCTCTTTAAATAGGCATTTCCTTGAATATGGAGGAACTTTCTATGGGTGCATAGAAAATAATAAATTATGTTAAATCTTTTGATTCTGAAATTTGATTCTTTATCAGGATTTGATTCCTTATCAATGCTGCACCATCAAGCTGTAAATCATATCAAACTGTAAACTCTTTCAGGACTCACCCAATTGTTGGTGTGACAAACGTATAGTAGTTAACAGTTTTCTCTGCAGAGCTCTCATCCTCCAGCTCTAAGAGTGCTTGCTGGTTATTTTTCATGTACAGAATGTTGGTGACTCTACCAAAAGGAGTACCAAGAGCAATGATCTGTCAAAATGAAATCAAGAATACAAATAAATGTTTCTAGACAATTGAATAAGGCTTTAAAGAGACTCTGTAGGCCACAGCTAACTGTGTGGGTGTGATTTTGATTTCTAAATGTGTGAATTATATGGCTGTTTATTCAATATGGCACAGTTTACCTTATCCAGGAACTTTTGTTGCCTGCTTTGTACCATTCTATTTTGTTCTTGTGCTTTCAGTTTTAGTATTGTGATAGTAATCAGTTTCACTTTTATTCTATAAGCATCAATAGATTAATTCTACACTCTTGAAAAAACAGAGCTACATGATTATAAGATAAGCTTTTTCAATTACCTCAGATTCTGAAACATCTCTTGGAATATTTCGAATGTGTAAAACCCTTGAAACTGGGTTTTCTTCTACCTTCATCTAAAACGAGAAATTCAGCACATAAAGATATATCATATATAATTCATGTTAAAAAAACATTAGACATCAAGCAGTGCTTTGATATTTCAAAACTAAATCGATATTAGGTAAATTATACATTATATATATATATAATTACTTATTGAGTACATATCTTTTAAACATGAATTGCAAATGTTGTTAAATATACATATATTTACAATATATTTTTTCCTCTAGCTGGTTTAACATTAAAGCATGACTCAGCAGAGATGCATCTCATTACCTTTTTTTGTCCCGCATCCATACTGCCTTCAGCACTTCTCTATGAAATAGATTGAAACATGAAAAAATTACCCTCATTTTTAGAACGTATGATTTTTATACAGACATATTTGGATTCATTGAAGTGCTGGCCTTGCAAGGAGAGGTGCTCAAGCCCAATCAAGTGCCTCCACATGCACATAGAAAGTTCTGAGCTTGATTGATCTCTAAAAATTGAATGCTAAAAACCAAATTTGGCATGATTATCACCTACATATTTAGAACCAAAGTTCTCTCTTTAGAAAATGGATGCTCATCACTACATAAGCTATCATCACAATACATGAGGTTTCTGATATTTTTATTGTTAAAAAAAATATTACTGCACTATAATGTACTATATGTTAACAACAACCAAGCCTTTGTTGTTCAAAGCGTGCGAACGGACAGGCACACAAAGACCAATTGTAAGTTTTTTTCCAGGAGCTTTTTAAAATTTGCTTATTCATACAATAGGACATATGTTGTCTCACGAAAGTGGGGTGCTTGAAATAATCATTTGACAGAGTTGCCTAAGACCCCACTAGCACGAGAATGTATCAGAACTGGATCAGATCCAAAAATGTACAGACAGGCCTTGCGTTTACACGGGAACTGGTGGATCTGTATACTTTTGGATCTGCTCTTCAAACGCTTTCAGAGGTGATCTCATATGGATCCCATGTAAACAGGTGGATCTGGTCCAGATAAGATCCGTCTACGTTATTTGTCGCAAGTCAGACAGAATATTTTCCAATTCAAGGTAGTTTAAATATGTAATCTGTGGCTTTCTGGCGCCAGAAAACTGAACATCAAGTTGATAGACTACTGTGTTGAAGAATTATTATGAAACTTTGACAATATGTTGTCTGTATTTTCTCAATCCTGTCCACCTGTAAGCTTCTAAGTTTTCTAGTCCAATACTAATTTTAAAAGTAGCGCAGTTTCTTCTTCAGTCTACGAAAATTTTACTCCTTTTAGCATTACCTCCCTCCGTGTTCAGGTTGAACTGTGTTTTTATCACACACAAAGTTCTGAAAACATCATATGCGCACCGATTTTGGAAAAGCGCATGCACGGTAACCAATTGAATTCATCTGGATCTGTTCTCATGTTAACACAAATCGTTCTGGATTGGAACCCGTGTAAACACATTGCCGTTTCAGGGATCAGATTCAAAAGTATCCAGATACTTTGGATCTGATCTGGTCCAGGTCTCATGTAAACGGGGTCTAAATTGTTTTTCTTTCAATAGGCTAAATGGTTTGCATTGTTTAAATACCAATTGTAAAAAGCAGCGCTAAAATTTCTGCTTTCCCCTTTTTGTCTTTGATCACATTTTTTCTTTTCACCTTCCTTCTTTTCCTTTTCGCTTATTTCATTTAGTGTTTCATTTAAATAGCAACCAGCCAATGTAACAAAATCCAGCTGCAAATCATAGAAAAGACCACACTCAACTTTAATGAACTCCTCCAAAGTTATTCTTTTGAAGATGGGATATAAATTATTCTTTTGGATGATGAGGTTGTTACTGCAAATTTACAAAAACAAAGTGCAATCCAAAGTCAGTGCAAACTGAAAATTTGTGTGATTTTTATTTGTTGTAAATATGTCCAATACTGAAGAAAGCACCTGGCAAAAACATTCTCAAAGAATGTCTTGCATTGATATCTATATATAGATGGATAATTGATAATAAATAAGAACTACTATTGAACTTCAAAATCCAATGAATTCTTTGATGAGCCTTTGATGTAGTATGTAGAATTTTAAAATACATTAAATCTAATGAATATTTTTCAATGAATTTAATAGAATATATTTTCAAATTCCTTTTTACATCATTTTTTCATCGCTGTATTGCTTTGTTCCTGACTTTTTTGTATTATTACTCATTGAAAGATTCACAGAATCTGGCAGACAGCCTATCCTGTGTTTCTTCCTTTTTACTCATCTAACCATTAAGCTATATATATATATAGTTGTGTTAGTATTATGGAGAACTGAGACAGCTGACTTTACCATCCACATAGGGCTGGTAATGCAGTTTTCAGAATGGCAAAAGATGAAAACAAATATTATATAACTTTCATTTAAATCTATCACCTCTAAAGAAGGAATAAAAATTCATCCCGACTGAGGAAAAAGAATCTAAAGATTTCTATTATTATCATCATTATTATGCAATGTGGTTTTTTATGAATTTGTTTGGCTTCAAAGAAACTTTGGCACAATTACTAAGAAACAGAAAGAATCCACTTCTATGATTGCAAATACAAAATTGAAAATGTTTATTTACATCTTGTTTTATTTTCTTCTTTAACACTTACTTTTTGCCTAAAACACAAACTTAATGTAAAATAATTCACTGACTATTGGTTTCAAAACATTTCTCTACATTATGTACAGTTCAATATTTTGGTTCTAAATTATGGAACACTCTTCCAGTTTTAATTTGTGTTGCTGGTTCTGACACAATGTTTTGCATTAAATTAAAACTCTATTTTATTGAACCTTATGTGTTGTAATTGGGTATTGGTTAACTTAGTTTATGTTCTTTTTTTATATATAAAGTTTCTAGTTTCTCTGCTTTTATGTGAGGGGGGGGGGGCTCTCTCTCAATTAGTTTATCTATATAGAGAGCTCCTCCTTAATCAAACTATCTTATATACAATCATGTAATGTCTGTTTCTTTATTTAGTTTGTAATTTTGTAAGCATCATTGTATTAAATTTTAGCGTCGTATTTTATTTTATTTTATAATTATATATATGAAACTTGATTATATGAAAGTTTTGAAGCCTTTTGCAAAGCTCATAGGTGCTTAATTTACTTTAATGTTGATTGAAAATTCGAAAAAATCCCAAAACGTATTTAAAGTCATTTTCCTCGAGGAAACGCTCTATCGTTACCGCCGTTTGATAAGTTTGCGGAAACAGCACGGGAAAGGGACAATCGTTTCGCCAAATTTCCACAAGTCAAGAAAGCAACCTAGCCCTCCACACATAAAGAATCTCAATACATAAAATATGACATTTTTAGCTGGGTTAGGTATTCCAAGACCACGTAGAATTTGTAAACCATGACAAAAAGGGCTGGCATGATGGAAGAGGCCAGTTTCTTTTGTAGCCTCCATTTGGACTAAACGAACAGTGTCTGAGCAATGGCGTTACAAAGTCTGAGATGAGATACATCCGTTTTGACAATTTTGCCCCTGGACAGAAAAACATTTTCCTACCAAATAATGTAGAAAACTAAACGACGTCTCTTTCAAAGCAAAGCCATTTTTAAGTACAGCGAACATTCCTTAAATCTGCATAGAGTCATGCTCGCGTTCCACGACTATGTGGCCTAAGACATTACTATTTCAAAATGGCGTTTCATTTACTGCCGCCCAGACAAAGAACCTAGCCATTAGACAGGGCGAGATATAATGATAATATAAGAATTAATTTGTTTAAGTTATTATAAATTAAAAATTAAAGGATATGTAGAAAAGAGCGAATTAAGAAACCGAGAATCGACAAAGAAGGAGAAGGGCAGAGGTCAATGAGAGCGACACAAGTACGACGCCACGTGGTCCAACTAACCTTAACTCCCGTTGAAGCTGAGTTGTCACTCATGTGACCGCCTTCGTTCATGCTTTATTCAATTGCCTAAACGAAAACGAATTTATGAAGCAAACTTCAACTTGTACAAGGAGAAAGAACATTTGAACGAACGTAACGAACAAATTTTACCTGAAATGGCGGCGCCCGACCTAGTGACTATGAGATGAGAAAAGAACCGATTGTGATAAGACCCAGTTGCATGACGGGTAGTGTATGGAAACAATTGACAATAAGCTCCAGCTCTTTTCAAAATAAAAAGATAAGAGGATTCTACTTGGCGCCTCTACTTGGGGGATATTTTTGGGTATGGAGTTAGGGTGGGGTGGGATGACAGTTTATCTTCTTCATCAAGACATGTCGACTTATTTGGGTCTTAGTTGAAGCACATTGTGAGGACTGACCTACCCTGTAAGCCCCTAGAAAAGAGAATTGTTGAAACACTGCTACTTATCTCTACGCGTTCAAACATTCAAGTCCCTTCAAGAAGCTACCGAAAATTGGTATATTTTGAGGCAAGGCGAAGACAGGATTCTGCAAAATTATGGCAAAACCTGCGTATTTTAGAAATGAGAGAAAGCCTGGTAACAGAAATGCAAATATCGTGATTTTTTACTCAACAAGAAATCGAGTGAAAATTCGAGTCGTTTGGCCACGTTGTCGAGCAAGTCGAAAGGCGTCGAGTGGTGTCGAGTGAAGTTTGATCTCTATCAAAAAAGTCGAGTGAAAAAGATGTTGTCGAATGAAAATCGAATCGTTTGGCCACCTTGTCGAGTGAATCGAGTGAGCGCGTGCGCAGCTTTAAAACTCTTATGCTGGGCGGAGAAGCATACTTCCCTGGGACCTCGAGGTCCATGTGACCTTTTTAAGTGATGAATTCTAAGAATGGAATTAATCAAAAGAAACAAAATTATGCCTGAAAATAGTAATTTGTTTTAAACGAAATAAGTATTTAATGGCGGTTCCTGCATGAAACGAACGAACAGGGTCTTATCTTGCTATAGTTCTTCAAGAGAAAGTAAAAGGATATTTGCACGAAAGATAAACATGGCAGCCGATTTGCGTTTCTTTGCCTTCATTTTGTTGGCGTGAGTGAAACGTAGAGTGAAAAATTGAGCAAAAGATCGAATCGTTTGGCCACCCATGCTCGACTTTGCTCGATTTTGAGATCAAATGTCGAGAGAAATATCGAGCAAAAAATCGAATCGTTTGGCCAAGGTTGACCAGGTTAAAGAGGAGAAAACTTCAAATATTTACCTATACATACCCTGGATGAATTTTACAAACTCTTTTTGCGAGCCCAGGGGAGTGATATTAATCATTCTCCAGCTAAGGTATTTGAATTCAGGCAAAACATGATTTTGCCAAATCACAGAGTCTGTCCAGAGTCCTCTGTGCGTGAACAACTCTAAGCAGGGCTTGAGTGGGAGACACTAAGAAGCTTTAGGTAGAGTAGATGACTTTGTTTTACAATATCATGAACGACGTCACTCCTCCATATACCATGCAGTGGTGGAGCCACGGGGAAGGAGTGGAATGAGGATATTAGTTTTTAAACCTTTTTAAAAAGTTGGTACTTGAGATTCTTGCAAACCTGTTCGTGACGTGATCCAAGGGCGTGATCCAAAGGGGCGTGGCCCCTGACACACCTTTTGTCCCACACACTTATCTCAGGCTGGAGCCGCCACTGAAACCATGCAGCCACCCCCTCATCAGTCGCAATACGATCTTCGCAACCAACATGCTATCGGACGGAAGAGGGCAAAAACTAAAAAAATTCAATTCAGTTTCTATCCTAATTGCACATCTGAACGGAATAAACTTGATCCTGAGATAAGTAATGCACCGTCCATTGCTGTATTTAAGTCTAAGCTTTTATCACCAATTCGTCCCCCTGCAAAATCTGTTTTTAGGATGCATGGCCCAATAGGTGCATCGTATCTTTCCCAAACAAAAGCCCGTCTTAGTAAACGAAATTTTGACAAATTTAATCACAACTTTAAGGACACTATAAATGTGCCCTATTTTGTTGCTTTGCTCTTCATTTGACATCCAACGACAGACGAGATCTTCTCGCTAGCATTTCTATAATAATAGATACGAAAACAAGTCCAAATCACCAGCCTTCCAAACAACATTCCGGTGCAACTTTTATTGCATGGTGATACAGACATTCCTGGTGAAGTTAACTTACATGTACTCGAACTCGCTCTAAAATTTATCCACCAAACTGTTAGGTTTGACTAAGAAGCGCTTGTACCTTGTCTTACACCGATTACTCATAGGGCCCCCTTACTTCTTTTACTTTGACTATAGGGTTGTTTCGCAGTGAATATTAGGCTCATTAGGCACAAATCTAGTTAAGAGTCAACCCTTCTTGTGAAAAGATTCGAATTCCAAGGGTTAGCCCGTCAAATAAAATAAAAAGAACCTAAGTATCTAGTAGCAAATAAGAAACACCGCAATACGCCGAGAACAAACAACAATAAATACACGTAAATCAGTGAAGGCTAATATTTTGCCCCGGCATACGGGGCTTCATCAGAGCAAAAGTTAACGGGCTAAAAATTTACACATTTAAAAGAGGCGATGGTGGTGCCGGATTGGCTGATGTGGAATGGTGTGAATGCAGCGCAGTGGTAGAGGAGAGAAGGGTGTGGAATGAGAGAGGGGGTGGTGGTGGTGGTGGAATGGAAAACGTAATGTAATGGGGATAAAGTACTATAATATGAAATAATGATAATGTTGCTGTAAGGTTAACGGTCAGTGGTTCTGTTCATGCCGTTCGGTGTGAGAGTGTTTGCCAATGAGGTATTGCTCTTTGGCTCGTCGGACACCCTCTCGTTTGTCGTTGAGTCACAGGTTCCACATCATTCCACATCCTTATTCTCGGCGTATTGCGGTTTTTCTTATTTGCTACATTTTTATCGACTTTCCGCCGCAAGAACTCCTTGGAGCCCGTCAAGCAGCCTGCTACAGTGACCTTTTCTTCACACACTAAGTATCTAGCCTGTCAAAGGCCATGTGTCGTGAACATGATTGGCTAATGCAATACCATTATCTTCTTTGCTTGCTTAGTACAAAGCACGGGATCGAGGTCGAATTTTCACGGCAGTAAAAATTCACGAATCAGAAATGGAAAGTATCGAAACAATGAAATTCCACTCACAATGTTTTTGTTCTTTTAGCAAACTGCTAGTGCGACAAATCCCCTTTAACTTGTATTTTCCCAAAATTTTAATGTTTTCTCGTGAAATATGGTAAAATGTATAAAATACTCGCTTTCCTTTTTTGATTTGATTCTCAGAGAATCAAAAATTTATTACATTATGGCAAATTGTCAGACGACTTAGAGCCAAATAATTTGAGAACACTGCGATCCTTGATAGAGCAAACGTGGTGAAAAATGCGCCTAGAAAGGCCAGGGCTATGGGAAGCTATCGCCTTGCCCTTCCTGAAATTCAAAATACAGAACAAGCAGAAACTGGCGAAGTCACTAAACTTTTCATGAAATTTAGAAAAAATAAATACTCGATTTTTTAAAAACCTAATTTATGCTGCAACTGTCAAGAACTTTGCTGCACTGTCTTGCATCTCAAATTGAGGTCTTTCAATACTTCATCACAGTTTATTTTTCTGTCAATGTTGTACTGTATAATTTCCTTGTTGGCTGAATGAGGAAAGTAAAATAACATCAATCATATATTATTTAAACATGATTTTTTGTTAGTTGTTGTTATTTGTTAAAGAAAGGATTCGCATGATCCTATTTCAGATGTGTTAATCTATATCAGAGGGGCTAAACGAAAATAGGTTGCAACAGTGGCAAGTAAAACAAACTAGGCCGAGAGCTGTATCATTCGTACTGGACTTATTTAAAACAATAGGATTTTTCGGGATTTTTAGATGATGTTTCTCGAAAACAAAAGCATTTTTCTAAAGGCGTACAAGATTTTTGTGAAGTGATATAGGCCGGGCCTCAACGTTGGCCTGGCAAAGAATTCAAATGAAAAGAAACAAAGTATATGAACAAAAGACAAAAACATGATAAATTCAAACTACACATGAAAACTTACAGAATGTTACTGTTAAACCAGGATAGCTTCCATCATTGACTAATTCCGTAAACACTTTGCATTTTGGGTTTGTACTTTTCATTCCTTCTGAAGAGAGGATGCGTAAAAATTCTCTGAAAATGAATGCAGGTCATTAGGCTTGAAACTTACAAAAGATTGTTTAAAAATGACTATATGGGGAAAACTAATAAGGTTTTGGGTATATATTTAGTATTTGCCTATCAAAGTCAAGATTGACCGTGACTGTCAATATCAATTATTCATTCAATACATATTATATTTGTTGATAATAAAAACGGGGCAGAACCATAATACATGCAACAGATAATTAACATAGACTCGTATAGCAAAAGACAATACAACTTCAAAGATGAGGCCTGTTTTACGTTTTGGTATTGGCAATTTCCTTTCTGGTAGAAGTCTCATGATATTTGGTCATACATCAATGTGTTCTCACTTTATGTGAGGGAAAGGTATCTCTCATTTAAGGATATAAATGCATATAAGGGATAATGGGAGGGGAGTTCAAAAAGATATTTACAGATTTTCAAAATACAAGGTTGTTTCTGCTTTTGATATAAGAGAAACCTGAAGTTGCCACTGACAAAGTCTGATAGAACAAATAAGGAGCATTTATGAGCCAATACAAAAACAAAAAGTTTTTCTAAATAAAACTTTCTATGGTCTCTAAAAAGGAAATAAAAATGTTCTCATGACAGTGGAACCCAGGTTGAGCCTACTTTTTGTTTACACTACATTGACCCTAAAGTATAATGTAAAAGCAAAGTTGGGTTGACCCGGCTTAGTTTTGCCACGCATGCACTTCTTTGTCAATTGGAATTGCGCTCATTGGCATCTTTCAAAATGGCAGAAGGCAGTGATGAGAATTTGATGCGGGGATCAAACTCATTGTGGTGTGCATGTATATACCTTTTACTTGCAGTCTTTCTGCAATCTTTTTGAATCAAATGCTGATTTCTTCTATAAGAATATAGCTGTTGCTGGATCCCTTCATCAGCCCATTTTTTGATTTTCAATTAATGTCATGACTCCATCGTTGCCCCACACTGTACCTTTGTCAGTCTTTGCTTCACTCACTTTCAAAATTCATTTCTTCAGATAGAAATGCCTCTTCAGGGGCGGATCTAAAGAAAAATTTGACTGCCGCAAAAGGGTGTGGTCCAAAAGTATATGGCAAAAAGGGGCGTGGTCAAAACCCATTTGCGCATGCGCAATGTAAAGTGGTTAAATAGTGCCGTTGATTGCATGTAAATATGTTATGTTATTCAAGGAAACTACAAAACAACATTCTCTTAAGTAATTCTTCATTGCCAATCATGACTCTTCACTGCTTACTTCTTTTACAGTTACAAAGGTTAGCATGGTTAATAATAGGGTTTGGTTGATATCAAATCTGCATTGATTCTATATCTTGCTACTGCACAGGAAACTTCTGTCAAAAAAAATCACCAGCTTGTCTCTGGATGAATTTACAAGCTTTAGAATATTGAAACCATGGGTAACTTTTAAGCCAAGAGAATGAAAAACTTTCTTTTTTCCTAAATTTGGAAGGAACTCTAAAATTTGCATCTGGTTCCCAGGCAATATTAAAGAGGTCCTACTACTGAGCTGCTCCAACAACTTCAACTTGTCCAAAAAGCCACTATCAGAATAATTTGAAACAGCAATTTCAATTCATTTTCTGTTTTGAGATTTTATGGTTCAGTTTATGAAAGGAAACAGAACTCTCTTTAGGAGTATGAAGGTCTAAGTGAGTAGGCTTGAATTTGGCTTCTTCTCATCCTAAAGCTACAACAGTTAGACTTTGCATTTGCACTTGAATCTTAAAAACTAGTCTTTGCACTACTGGAACTTATAAAACATTGTCACCATCAAAAACTGAACAAAGATGTCAGAAGTCTATATAAAATTCTATCAAAATAGAATTTTATATAGACTTCTGATATCTTTTTTCAGTCATACCAATAACCTCTAGATACATGGTGTTTTGATCAAGCTTTGCAGACAGGGTGTAAGTTATTTGATGTTGCTATGTTAAGCACCTCAAATGTTTGACAGTTTAAAAGCATATCAATAAGCCTATGGGTCTGGTCTGTTGCCAGCAAAGAAACAAAATTGTGAAAGAATGCACTGAAGGTTACATACAGACAAAGCTTTGCTATAAAATGCCCTAAGTAATTGATATTTTTTCGTACTAAGTTACTTCCATAGATAAAGATTATACAGACAGTTAACATTACAGATTATACTAACAGATGACATTGCAGATTGACAAATAATAGATACAGACATCAAAGAATAAAGTATTTTTCGAATATCTATTTGGGAGTCATTCAGATACACAAATTCTATTTCCCTTAAGTTTACTTGTCTTTTTAAAGGCATTTTCTCCAAAATATCTCAAAAAGCAACCAAGGGCATCCTGAGAGGACAAGATAAGCTAATTTCATAACCATAAATAGCAATTCAATAATCCTTACTAAAATAACACAGATTTGCCAATCAGGTGATAGCTATGTCAATTTATCAGAAATAAAATCACTGGTTAAAATTTACTTCTGAACACATAAACATTCATCAGACTGTAATGTTATGTTTTTAGTTTTTAAGTCTAATAGCAACAGCTTTCCCAAATTGAAAGATCTCTGATACATTTGTGTCTGATGTGTCATAACATAACATAACGTAACATAACATACATAACATAACATAACATAACATAACATAACATAACATAACATAACATAACATAACATAACATAACATAACATAACATAACATAACATAACATAACATAACATAACATAATTTGAAATATAGCACACAAAATTAGAAAAAGAAACCCAGCATACTCTGATGCGATGTTTGAAACAAATTGAAATTGAAGTTAAAAAAATTTATAGAGAAAGTGAGGCTAGCTATTTTCCCTGGAACCTCCACAGAATTTTTGAAACCAGATTTTCTATGTGTATTAAATTCTTGTGTCTGTAAACTTATAAAATACTTATTAAATACTCTATTATGTCTATTATTACTATATGTCTATTAGTTTTAAATTTACATCGTCATGATTCGAGTTGATCAAACAAATAATATTTTTTCTATACTTTATGTTGTATTGGGAAAGAATTGACAATGCTAACTGACTCTGATAATATACACATTTTATGCGATAAAAAAACAAAGTTTTTTGGCAATCATATTGTTATTAAATAACAAAGAACATTATTCAAATACGTCTAAAAAAAGAAACCGAACGTTAACAAGAATGAAGCATAAATAACAATGTTTCAAAACGTTTGCTTCAATAATAATTCACCTCCAAAGAAAAAAGTTTGTTCTCGGCTCAACATAGAACTTTTAACCAAGTAGGCCTAGCTCCGATACTTTAGCTGCAGAGATAGAAGCAGAATTTCCAAGTCTTTTAAGCTTAATATTGCTAAGGTCATGCATGAAGCTTCCAATATTCACGTCTCTGACAGAACTTAACCTTTTTCAAGATATCCTTTCCCCTTCTCAGCTTTATTTTCCTGTCTGTCAAATCACGGTACAGGAGTGAAATGAGGCTGCTAATCGTCTTCATGATCACCGCACCGATCTAGTGGATCACCTACGTATGACAAGTATCACCCTGATATCAAATGCGGCATTCTGCGGCACCTCAAGATTCCGAATAACCATACGCTGAGCCCACTCCACATATTTTGCATATACAAAAATTTCTCATACATCTCATCGATGCCGCAAGGAGAACAATAAAAATGACGTAGGGTCTCAAAAACGATTGTTTAAAACTGCGCGGGCATCTAAAATTAATATGCGAAATGCCGCAAAATATAATTTATGTCAAATCATCTGAGGCAGGAAGAAGATCACATAATCGCAGGGAAAGAATCACTTATTCGCTCAATATGAGGCGAAACAAAGATGCAAAATAGGGTCTCACAACGAGAAGAGGGGGGAGGTGGGAGGGCATGAGTCATTAACAAAAAAATCAAAGGATGTATGTAGTGGAATTTCAAATAAATGAAACTGAAACTGAAGATGTGTTTGGCGAAATTTAAATGTTTCAGTCTTTGTCAGCAGTAGTTGACTGCCTTGCGTAAGGCAGTTGCGGCACCCTAGATCCGCCCCTGCTCTTCCCTTTAACATTGCAAGACAACTTTTGTTTGAGAATGGCTGGGTGTCTTGGGGCCTTTTGAAGCATAGCTCGAAAAGCGCATGTGTGTATCGAGTGTTAACCTGTGTTCAATCCAGGTTTGCCTTTAAACTGTATTTCAAAGATCTTAACCTGGGGTCAACATAGGTTCAACCCACCTCCAGCATAGGGTTGGATTAATCTAGGCTCGACCCTAGGGAGGGGAGGGGGTAACCCCATTAATGCATGACAGGGGTGTCCAGTCAATATGAGGGTCTTACCAAATAGCTACCAAATAGCCCAGTTTTGATACTAACACAACAGCAGAGACGGACATGCTGCCGATCAAAGGAGCAGGCGACACTGGTCTATTGAGACAGAGTGCAATTTATTATATACAATTAACAAAGTTTTTTTTGTTTTTCCCAAATCAACAACAGTCAATGGAGAAGAAATTTGTCAAAGAAGGATTAGGCATGTAGAAAGAAATAATTTCCAATAACAGGATGCTACCAATGACATAATTCCCATCCTTATGCTACCATTTGAGTATTATTGCCAAAAAACACTACCATTTGAGGGTAATTTTTTAACATTTTAGCTTTGGCCCTCATTGACCCTGACTGCACCCCCTGCTAGGCCATAATGGGAATAACTCCCCCCTGGGGTTAAACCTAGGTTAACTGTGTTTACACTACAATATTCCAAACCCACAGGCTCAACCTAGGTTAGAAGCTATAGTGTAAACAGGGCTCTACATGGGTAGTAGAAAAACACCCAATTCCAGTGAATTTTTTCAGATTCCAAAAGGTATCCATCTTTCAAAGTTTCTCTGTCCTAGGTTTGAGGTAAAAACCCCTTTGTCAAAGTTTTTCCGATGAGCTTGGATGCACCCAGGGGCGGCACTATAGGGTAGACTAGGGTGGACATGTCCACCTCACTTTTATTAATGTCAATTTTCTAATTTTTCCAAAACTGGATTAAAAACACAAGGGGGGATGTCAGTTTTCTTCTCTGAGATTGGAAATTTTTCATTTGGATGGTCAGTTACAGTTCTTTTCAGATCTTAGCTGACATAGAGTATGGTGTTTTGGATTATCAGTTCTGTAAATAAAGAGAAACTAAAATAAAGATGATCTATAAAACACAGCTTTATCGTGCTAAACAGTTGGTTCTTAAGAGTTAGTTTTTGCCTTCTTAGAGTGTGGTTTTTGCCTTCTTTCCTTTTTACAGGTTTTTGGCAATAATTAACTTTAAAACTTGTACGTAAATTTTTTAAGTTGTGAGGATAGTATAGCTGCAGTCCACCTGTTACAGCTGCATCACCTTTTCCAACGAAAGGTTGGAAAATTTTGTTCATATTGGCATCTATCGATATATGGCAGATAAAATAATGATCTTCCAAACATAAAAATGTTATGGTCATAGATTACCTGGCAGTTACGGCATAAAAATGTTATGGTCATAGATTACCTGGCAGTTACGGCTTGTGGGTGAAATGGATCAAATTTGGCCTTGATTTCTTTCACAAACGCTAGAGACAACCCTCTCAAAGCAGCCATGTTTTCTGCCAGTTGTTGTTGTTCAGTTGTTGTTGTTGTTGTTGTTGCAAGCGTCCAGAACTTGAATTTCCGCAACGCGGGCAGACTCTCACTGGTGGCACCCCCCTCGACACAATCACGATCACAAAATGCACCATTATTCCCATCTACTTATGCAGTTTGACAGTAGAAAATTAACATTTGAATGTATATATATTTTAAATGAGATTGATATAATGCAGAGATGTAGCAAAAAGCACCTAATATTTTGAGAAGAAAAAAATAGTGAAATACTTTGTTTTGCTTTCTACTTTTGCGTTTGCTTCGTAAAATTTTACACCTTCATCACTAAATAGCACTTACGAATTTGTACAAACCTCGTTAAAGATGAAATACACTTTTAACTGGAAACTTCTTGAGTGTGCAATTTATTGAGAAAAAATACAAACTGCATGTTAAGTGTAGTGTTGCAATATACAATTATATTTAATGTCAAGACTGTTTCGAGTGTCAACTTGGAAAATCAAAACTGCAAATTTTAAAAGTATCTTAGCCTTTTTACATTTGGGTAGGGTTGTTTCTCAACTTTCGAAAAATTTAGCCTACCGTTTCTTATAACCTGCTTCTTATAAACAAAATGAGTGTCATATACTTCCTCTCTAACTTTTCCATATTATATAAGTTACGACAATTTTGGCTAAGTGCTCAAAAAAGTGTTTTTTTATAATCCCCAACCTTACATAACTTCAACACAAGATATGATAATATTACTTTTTATCTTGGTAATCATCAATCAACTAGCTCGTTTTGCTTTGTTTTGTTTTGTTTATTGTAGACAACATTTGCCAAACGTATGTTTTTCTTAAATTTTGTTAAGGAATATCCTACTATATCCCATGAAGCCCGAAAAGGGAACAATCCAGTCTTGCTTGCAATACATTTGCTTCATCAAAGTCATTAATCCAAAAATTAATTCACGGTGTTGCTTCTACAATACAACTTTAAACTATAGGCTTCATGGTGTATTCGCAGGTGGGCTGGTAGTAGCACTATCTAATCTACTAATCATGAATGACGTATTATCTATTTATTTATTTGTTATCTGATCACCAGAAAACGTACTTTCTGCATCCAATCTTCTGAAACAGTGAGAAAATGCATTGAGGTTTATTCTACACCAAATAAAAGATACCGATGAATTGACAAGAAGTTACAATAAGTATATCGAATAGAATGTGATGTCTTCATAGATGTCCATGTCAATAATAATTGAACTGGACGTATGAAAACTGAAAACAAAATAAGAGTACTTTTAAATTGTTTTACTAGCTATATTATTTTCATAAATTTGCCAATAAAAGACATAAAGGGTACTTACTATTATTTTCCAGACAAAGTTTTGACAGAAAATGACTCTGTGCCCATTATGCCCATATCGAAAGGTTCTTAGAACTGTTTCACCCTGTTCTTGATTTTAACAACCTGTTGCATCCTTAAAGTACTGTGAAAAGTTTTCTCTAAGGGCCAAGGCATGAACTCTGAATAGAGGGGCAATATAGTAGAAAGTCTTTATCGTGCATTTTATACAATGTATCTAGTTAAAACGCGCCATGCTCCTCCGTGGTCCCTCCAAAGACGCTGCCCCTGGTAACTTTCAAGTTAGTGCAAGTGGTGTTGATACTTGGTTAGTCATATAGAACGATACAATGCAACATTTTGCTATTGTTGAATTTGGCCTTTCAGAATACATATGAACACAATACTGAAGTGTTTTTTGTGAAAAAAGTTTAATATGAAGAATCGTAAAAGGTCATACTACATTTGTACGGCTCGAAATTAAGTTATTGTACCTAACTCGTACTACAGTGGCTTTTTCAACAAAAGATTTGACATTCTATGACACGACACGAGCAAATAAGAGGTGGATTAAATCGTTGTAGTATAACAAAATGCAAGCTATCCACAAAGTTTTTCATTAGGTTACTTTTTGACTTGAAGAAGAAGACAATTTTCGATGTCAAAATATCATTAGAACCCAATATACTATACGCAGTGCAGACCCATTTCAAATGATCGAATAAATTATGTTATCGTTTTACAGATCTACGCTTTTAGAACATACTTATGCTCAATATCGAACATTCTCGTAGTAAGATATGTATATACAATACGTCCATTCGGTTTACAGATCAACCGAGTCCATGTGTGCGCACAGCTCATGAAAGATATATAAACAGCTACCTTCTACGTACAATGCCTGCCAAAAGTACTTGGAACACCCACCAATTTACGCTGCATTTGATATCTTTCATTCCTTTCATGAAAAAAATTGCTACTTTCGCCCCCTTCCTCCTAAAACAATGTTGATGATTTAGAGAAATATCATAAAAGAAGCGCAAAAGAAAGTGCTTCCGAAAATCCTAATCCGTTTGATAGAAAACCAACATTGTTCTGGAGGGGAGAGGGGGATGATTGGTTTTGACCTTGGAAATTGATGTCAGTGTTCCAAGACTTTTGGCAGGCATTGTACTCCCAATATTGTAGGCAACAGTTATCTGATCATATTTGAGTCATTTGTTTAAATTAGAATCATTCATTTGCACTGATGATTGAGAAATATGCACCTGCCTATACCTATCATAGCAACAATAATTTTTTATATTTTCAGACAAATCTTAAGGGGCCTTGTTTTTCAAAGTTGGGTCTGGAACCCCGCCTAATTCCTGCCATAATTTTTCCCATTCCAACTTTTGCCTACGCTACCGTTATTGTCCTTACAGACCTTGCAATAGCAGGGCTACCTTTTTTCAAAACAATAGAGATTTTTTCAAATTCTTTTATTTTGCGTGATATATTCTCCCTTGCCCCCCACTCCCCCCACTCTCCAATCTTTATCGGATCCCAAGAATAGGTTCTTCTGAATATCAACGAACATATAGATTGGTTCCGCTTCTCTAAAACAGTTTTTAAAAAGAGATCAAGAGGTATTTTGGGGTAGAATCTGGGATCTGGTTTATTTGGGGTATTTCGACCATGCTGATTACGAATGTGGTAAATCCCAAGCGAAATTCGTTAATTTAAAGGCTTAATTTGCATATTCAAAATGGCTTCCAGTCAGAAAACTTCACGTCAGTGGCGTAACGAGGCAGTGTGGGGCCCTTATTGAAAGTGGTGTTTTGGGGCCCTTTAACTTAACAAAATGTGAGTAAAGTTTTAGAGCCTAAGTACTCACTTTTTGGGATTTCTCATTGAATTCAAGATGATGATCATTCAAGATCATTCAAGATGATCACCATGATCATTAAAATTATGCGCGATGGGGCATCATCTACATAGCCGAGATAAAACAGCTTCCAGACGAAGTCAAAGAAGAGTTTGCATAGGGGAATTCTGTTGTAAAGTGCTCAGCAAGAAAATTTAGCGAGGTCGACCCGGATCATGCGCAGGAGTGGCTGAATGGTACGGGAAAGCAAGCCGGGGGCATAGTAGGAATTACGAAAACATCATCGGCCTTGTTGAGATGGAGCCTTTTGTTCAACCTGAGGTCACACTTGGCAGAACAACCCGTAAAATGTATGGCCTGTTAGCGGATAAAACGATCTCTGTTGAATGATTTGCCATCCAAGATAGAAAGAGACAACGTCGATGAAGATTCCTTGCTTGCCACCTTTGAGAGATTCGAATTATTTGCGATAGATACCTTAGGTGAGATATTGCAGAATAGCAGAATATAGCAACTAAAGACCTGGCAAATAATGAAATTCAAGAATCTTTGTTGCATGCAACCGATCTTGGTCAGGATCAAATTTTAAGCGTTGTCACGCAAAGACAGATACCGCCTGGCACAGAGCCCATAATATCAATCAGAACTATTACAAAGATGGAGAGCGCTTACCTCTCAAAGCCTATATGAAGTTCCAATAAATTCAAACTACAAGGAGAAGCAGACGGTTTTTAAGGCCGATCGAAATATCCTCATGCGGTTGATCACTGCTTATGAAGGCGGCCGTGAAATTGATCTTAAGAGTGTGCTTTCTCATTTATTGATACCAGTTCCTCTATCTCTAGCTGAAATGAACAGTTCTCTTCGGACTGAAGACAAGTCTGTCCTTATTGACAAGCTAACGGATGGCATCAATTGTCCGGAGAGTATCGATCTTCTTGGAGAAACAGCGTGCTTAATCATCGATGGTCAGGCTCTAGTGGTGTCATTAGGGAAACGAAACGGTTGCTCTTCGTTTCGTGATTTAGCAGACACCTTTGTTCAAGCAGTGCTTCAAATGGGTAAACGCTAACAGAGAATCGACGTTGTTTTTGACCACTATAGAAAACTATCAATCGAAACAAGTACCAGACTAAGGCGGACAATAACTAGCCGGCCTATTCGCCGAGTTATAAAGGGCGGTTTGATACCTCTTCCAAAGTGCTGGTCAGACTTATTGGCATTGCCAGGAAACAAAGCAGATCTTGCACGATTCCTGTCAGAGAGTTGTTTCGCCAAGCACCTGAGGATAAAGAAATTGTTACACAGGATTTATCAATGATTTGCTTGCCCAGTCATCGAAATACTACACTTATACCTTGTCTTTGAGTGCAAGACATGAAGAAGCAGACACCAGACTTGTCCTTCATGCTATCAACGCCACCTGCAATACAGTAGTAATTGCTGCTAGAGATACAGATGTGCTCATAATTCTGGTGTCCCACTGTGAACGAATGCGATGCAATGATCTCCGGATGATGTCCGGAACGTGAAAGAAGAGAAAACTTATTCCAGTCAAAGGGATCCTTCCCACCTTGCCAGAGTCTGTCGAGCACTCATCCCCTTTAACACTCGTACTGGATGTGATGCAACTTCGTACTTGTCTGGGAAGATAAAGACATCTGCATGGAAAAAGTCGCATGAACTCGTGTAAAACATGGGAGAAGGAGGTATTAAAAAAAAAGTTATGCGGAAAGCAGAACAATTTCCTTGCCACGTTTATGGTGCAGGTGACATTAACACCACAAATTAAAACCCGACACGTTCTATTTTTAAAGAAAATAAAACCAAAAGCATCGCCTCCAACAATCTAAGCAATGATATGGAAACAAGCTGGGTCAACGCATCAAAACGTACCATCGCCTACAGATTTCGGATGGGAGCTTTCTGCAGATCGATTAAAGCCAATTCTAATGACAGCAGAGGCCATACCTACAGCTTCTCTGGAGATGATCTTTTGTGGATGTTACACACGATGCAGAAACAAACGCTGTAGAAAGGCAAATCTACTGTGCACAGCTTAATGCAAAAGTGCTACAGAAGATGACAGCTGTCTGAACGATGAGCATTGATCTACTACACCAACTCATATGTAAAAGAATTTTTTAATAAAATCTCATATAGCTTAGTTTGCTTTAAGATTTAGATCAGACATTCCTTCAAATTCTAATGTAGGGTCAAGCTTCACACTGCAGTATCAACATTACAAGAATCCTCAAGAGTTCTTGACAAGTATGGAAGAATTTTAATATCAGCAATGAAGTTTTAAGTGGAACTATTCTTTTCTCGAGAATTCTCAAGAATTATTAGTCAGAAATTAGTGTTAATTTGCGCAAGGCCTGTAATGTAGCAAGTTGTACGGCATATGCAGCAAAGCTGAAAACAACGAATTCAACTGACCTATAATTGAATAGATTCCAGCTTGGATACACGTTAGAGACCTTTACAAAGATGCAGCATAGTAGAATTGGATGTACAAAAGGAATGTGTTCAGCCACTTAAATATTCAATGTTGACATTTCACCCGATCACTACTTGGGAGAAATTTCATTTGAGAAAATGTCATAGATAAACTTGTCGTTAGTTCGAAATATGGAGAGCTGAAAGTTTGCCATTTCTCCTAAAATATAATGGGCTAAATAAAACTGGAAGATTTTCTTGATGGTAGACACTAATCAGCTAGAAAACTAAATAAGTGAGTTTAATTTTTGCCGGAGGATCATAGATCATCGACAATGCCAACATTCGACTGATTTCGATGAGAACTTTCAAATGCTGCATGACCTTTTTCATTTTATGACGTTAATCAAATTTATGACGTCATGCAAGTCACAGAAAATGTCATAGATAAACTTTACTGGCCGAAATTGGTTTTCTTTATCTTCAAAAGTAAATTGAAGACATTTTAAAGTATTTGCACGAGTAATTAGGGGTTTAAACGAAACAATGACAAACTGGTGTAAATAAATGATGAATAAGTGACATAGATAATAAGCTTAGATGGAAATCATATCTCTGATTTTTACTTTTTGGTGCATTTTGATATATTCTAGAGGCATTATAAAAGGACTTGATAATTAAAACTGAGATATTGCCAATAGTTAGCAAATTCTGCCATTTCCTTCAATTATGACATCATAATGGCGTCATAGATGTAATGAAAATTTAAAAAGTGCCTGTTGTGTAGATTATGTTGCTGTACACCATTTTACCAAGTTCTGTCCTCATAACAGCAATATTGATGAATATCCTAGTCGAATGCAGTGTCATGGGTTTTCTTGGCAGCATTTTGAAGATTTCGACAGGCAGCCATTTTGATATACAAATTAAGCTATTAAATGACCGAATTTCCTTTGGGATCCACTAATTTGTAATCAGCATGGTCGAAATACCCAAAATCAACTGGGTCCCAGCTTCTACTAAAAAATGCCCCTTGTTTTATAATTTCTTGGAATTGGAACCAGTCTAATATGGAATCTCACTGTATAAAAATGTAAGCATGTCTTGTGTATACATCGGTGTAATAATAGCAGCCAGTTGTTGGGGTGTTTCTGTTAAATCCGATACCTATGATTGAATTTGGGGACATACATTCATTCTCGTTATTGCCCATAATGCCGATTCTTGCCATTAAGATGTTGTTAAAATCCTTCCGTATATTAAATCCTTGTCTGTGACAGTGTGGTTGCAATAAGTTTGTTGGTCCTGGAATCAAACCATACCATTTACTTAGGGGAAGATTCAAGTGTATGCTCGTGGACGATGAGAATATCTCACGCAAAGATGAAAACGATATTGGGAAGGAAAGCCAGTTGGTTTCTGAAACTTTCTGGTGTTTCATTTTCATTCCTATACAAACAGCAGTAAACCTCATTTTGTTGAATGCTTCAAATTTTGCATCTCCAGGATCCATGTTTGTTGCCAAGTCATTAAGCACTCTCTCATCTTCCCAGTAAAGTGAGTTTGACCACAAAGTAGTCTGACGGAAGCAAAAAAGTATTTATAAAAATAAGAGGAATATAGAAAGAACAAGAAGACACAGGGGGTTGATATATATCTGCTATATGATAAGCTCTCTGCATCAAAAACCAATGATTTTTTCACCTTAGCCAAAAAATTCAATGAACTGGTTTTTGAAGCCAACCCTGCCCGATTGCCCTAATAATTGACCTTACTTTGTAACTCGCTACTCATTTTCGAACTTGCCCTTTATCATTTTAACCCAGTGACTGAAAGGAGGATCCATGGACCCTTGAAAAAAACTGAGTCAGGGCCCGTATTTACAGTCAGTACCATTCTATTGATTAGTGCGTATAAAACATTATAGCAAGATGTTAAAATGAAAAAATTTTCTCGTTAACTAGAGAGGCGGGAGTAACATGCTTCAAACATGGTTATAAACATATTTTGGGACCCCTTTTATCGGGGGTCCTTAGTTATCAACATACGTTGTCCTATAAAGCAATATGCCGTTAAATTGCTTATGTTTTGATCTATCTTTCTTCTCCTTTCTGAGGCAATCAATACAATACATACCGTTGTCCCGTCAGCCTTCAATGCCAATGTCCACCCTCCTTTGCCACAACCACCATCCATCATGCAATAGTGAGTCCCAATATCGTCCAAAATGTACTTCTTACTATCCCTCTCGCCAGCCATGTAAAAGTCTTTGCATGATTTTGAAGATGCTGCAAACAGAGAAGTACTAGACCTAATTTGGTTTACTTCATTATTCTTTATTGTGGTTAGATTCTTCACAGAGGAAACGAATATTAAGTACCAACTTCCTCAAGCTACGGGACACAGTTTTCCTTCTATCCGTGTTTAGCAAATTTACATAGGTTTTCTTAAAAACTAGTATATAATAGAAAAGGGCGAAGTTTATCTGGGGGATTAATGCTGATGTAGTGAGAGGCATAGGATGAGAGAAGCATGTTAAAGGGTGCTATCTTAGTTTCAAATTGGCGACATATACTTGCATTTAGCATGAAACTTGGAGTTACATCTAAGAACCGTCACGTTCTCTGCATCAAATAGTGTAATGTAATTAATTAAACCTTTTTGCTGTACGAAGTCATTTAGCTTTATATTTGATTATCAGTTATTGGCTTACTTTCAGCCTACTACGTTCTAATAAATCACATGGGAAGATTCTTAAATGTTTATACAATCTTGCCACCCCCCCCCCCCTCCCCCAAATACATGAGCAATGTGTTCATAAGAAATTTTCAAGGTGCAGCTTGGCAGCTACGTAATACAGACACTGACTTACTGCTTCCAAAGAAAAACACATGTAATAGGCAGAAGTGATTTTCGTTTAGGGAAGCTAAACTTTGGAATAACCGAGATACTAAAGCTAAGAAGGCAAAAACTCTTGGAAAATTTAAAACTTTGCTCTAGAAATTTGTGTCTAAATATCACAATAAAATTTGACACCTGCTAAGGGAAATAGAAGTGAAAATATTGTAAGAGAGTATGAGAATTGCGAGAGTAGAGTGGGTTAGAAGAGGCTGGGTAACGTATTCTATCATTTTTTAGATTTATTGTATCTATGTATTTTATTCTATTTCATGTTAGTTTTCCTTTTAGTTTAAATGCATTGCCCTTTGTAAATCAGCATTGATTTGGAAACCATGCTTGGGCTACCATGCTTAAATGAATGTAAAATGAAAAGAAAAGAAATTAAATGAATATCACTTATTTGGACACTAGAATATCACAAAATCTTTCTTTTCGGTAAAGTTATTATCCTTTTCTGCACTGATATGCTTTATCTGATCCAGCGATACAGTAATTGTATATTTGAGCAAATTTTTGGCGGTACAGAACATGAAAATGGCTTTGAAAAAAGCATACATTTCACAACATACTATTTTATATGTTGTGAAATGTTTGCGTTTTGCCAATTGTATATTTGTCCGATAGAACACTTTTGTATTTGCATTCCAAATTTTGATCTGTAAGTTGACAGCAAAAGCACACTTTGTGTTAAGTATACAATGTCTGGTTCGTAATTTTGTAATGGTTGGTAACCTCGAAACCTGAATATGAAACGACTAAAAAAATAGCCATTAAAAAAGAGCTAATTCAAAATTTTCATAAATAAGAGGGCTTTGATGAACGGGAAGGTCGAACTTAATGCAGTTTAAATATCGCAGAAAATTATCGAAAGGGCCTTACAAATTTCAAATCTGTAGTCGAATGTTTCCGTCGCTGAAACGTGGAGTTTGAGAAATAAGGGTGTCTTGAAAAGTGTCGAAAAAATAGACAGGGGAGGGGCCTTTTTTTCAATCTCACTGTAGAAAATTTTCCTATGTCTTGCTCGGGAAAGTTTAAAAAAAACGATAGAATGGAAAAAAATTCGAGTTATCAAGCTATCGTTTTTGTTGTTGTTTAACCTCGTGGATTCCAGAAGACGATGCCTAATATGAAAATTGAAACTCGAGCAACGTGTTTCAATTGCATGATACTTCATGAGACTAACTACATGAATAATTTGTATGTTCATTAACCAACCAGCGCATTCCATGTCTCTGTTGAGAAAATAACCATGGTTGCATCGAAAACAGCGAAATCCTGGGCACGAGCAGGTATCAATGCAATACTCTGACGCACTGCATGGCTTGAATAACTCGCAGTATGAGCCAATCTAACAGAAAAAGATGAAAAACATTGAGTTGAAATTCTCTAAAAAATGTTAGGTCTCTATGTTTCATGTTTGTAACTTTCAACTTGTGCATTTCTTTCTTCTTCATTGAAGTCTCGGCAATAAAGGAAAAAAATCTCAAAGATTCACTTACATTCTTCTTACTGTAGTTCGTAGCGTAATATGTCCAGCCGGCGTTTGGCTGAAGGTCTCCTGAATATCCTTCAATCTCTGTCTTGTTATTCAGCTCACAATTGTTCTCTCCAGCATTTTTGTGGTTCACAGATTTGCACCCAATGCGAAGTCTGCAGCTTTCAAAGCAATCTTCTAAACTAGAAACGGTCAAGGATCCTAGCAAATTGTTTAGCAAGGTCTTGTCTGTTGATATTACATCGAACTGTCCTTCTTCTTTACATGGCAGACGCAGAATCCACGAGTGCATCGTTTTAAGCATGATCAGTAAACTTTGAAAGAAAACAGTAAAGATATTTCTCAGTGGTGAATTTTAAGTGGGACAAGCCTTCTGTCAGTAGTTAGGGTCTGAAATGGTTGTATACAGCGTATACCCGTCGCCAATTTCTGAAAATTTTTCAGTGCCCCCACTGCCAACTGCCCCTCGCTTAAGTTTGCCCGGGATCCGCCCCTGAGATTATCTGACTCAACAATCAACATGAATTCCACCGGAACTGATGCATTAGAACCAAAGATAACTATATTCATTAAATTTTTGCACTTTAAAAGTTATTTTTGAAAACATTCTGCAGTAAAATGGTTTTATAAGAAAAGCCTTAGGCGCCCATTAATTGACTTATAATACCATAGATTTAACACATACATGTTGGCCTTCTAGTTTTGGAAGATTTTCCGTCACGTACTGACATACACACTTCAATGACAACACATTTCACTAATAAAAAGATTGTCAACTTTATTCATTTTTTGACTCACCATATTAAACGCACAATCACCTTCGACATTTGAAGAGACGGCATGGTTGCAAAATGCTGATTTCAAAATAATGATATGACACCAAGTCCCTCTACTCTTTAACTTTACCTTTTTATAGACGTATGTAGGTAGCTATAGATATATTCATTCGGTTGCTGAATAATAAATAAACAACAAGTATTTATAACGTTTTGCGTTAGCGACGAAAGAATTGAAACCAATCACATTCACCAGGTTTCATGTTATCAATTTAGAGAATGGTAAATGATTGCCAAAGCAAAACATAAATGTCATTGCTGGTTCCTTGCATGTGATTTGTTTTGAAACTTTTACCCTGCAAACATCAATTATTATTTCCAATGATAATTCACATGGATCTATTGACTACATTTTTGGTGTCTATTGTCAATTTCTGTTTTCTGTTCGCAGGTAATCAGATCCATGCTGGATCAGTTGTGAAAACACGTCAAATCATACAAAATTAACAAGAATAGGCCTAAGAGTTTTAGGATTTGAAAGGGTTGCAACCACACCCCTATCATCAGGCGAAATGTTTTGCATTCAGGCTCTATGTGGACTTGTATATCCCAATGAAGCAATGAAATTCGGACAAAATCCATACTAGCCCCCCCCTTTCTCTAAACTGTTACGTCAAGGCGTTACGTCGCAAAGAGCGAGAGGCAAAGACAACGCACTTGATACACTTTGTGTGCTTTTAAATTGCACAGAAAACTAACCCCATCGATTGGTAGATAACCCTATCAACATCAATTGATAGGCAGCCCGACAGATAGCATGTGATTCAATACACATGTCCGACTGCAAAACGCGTAGCATATGCTCCGTCCTCACACTCCACAGAGGCAATTGGGGAGGGAGATGGGGAGTAAAAATGGATAGGATAAAGAAATGAAAGAAAAGGAAAAGTGGAGGAGCTGTTAAGGAAAAGGAGGAAGAGAACTTCCATTTCTCTTCTCCGCGCCCTCCCCCCCCCCCCCCCCTATTCTCCGTAGTTCACCTTTTCTCATTCACCAAATCCTTATACAATAACCTCTATAGCGGAGAGTACTACCGTAACAAGTTGGGTAATAAAGAACATGAACAGGCGACAATCCAAACAATGGCAGTAAACTTCTACGGATTAACCAAAATTGATTTCAGACTGTCTGAAAATGCATTATGGGATGCTTGCGTAGCGCAATGGCTCATTGTTAGCAATGAGTCTATAAGTTAATTTAGAATTTTGACAATGCAAGGAAAAACGATTTGACCTATTCTATCTGGAGCAAAGATTTTGCGCGCGAGGAAGGAGCAAGCTTAATAAAGTGACTTTAAAGACTTTATCAAGATTGATTACCTTAATGGCATAACGGCAAAAATTAAAAAGAGGAATTCCATTTACCCGCGTGGGGTGTCCAGACCTACAACAGCATTGCCTTATCTTTTTAGCCCCCCGGGGGCTTATTGTTTTTCAGCACTTTAAAGGGGGGCTTATAAGAGAGAGGGGCTAAATTGAGAGAGGTGGCTTGATAAATATTTTGTAAAAAACCATTTATAGTGGTAAACTAATTTTTTTGTTATTTGCGAAATAAAAAACATCAAATCAGCCTTCCTCTATATCAATTATATATCATTGTCATCGTAATCAATTATTAATTGTAAAACATCTTCTCAGGCCATGTCGCCTTCTGAAATCGAGCAATCGAAAAGGTCGACTTCATCCCTCGGAGTACCAACGGCCTGTAATTGTGGTAAAAGGCTCTCACATTGCCCGTGCTTTTTGCACATCAGATCTTTGTCTTCGGATCTGTCGTGACAATTGTGTGAATTTTAATTTGATGCGAAGTATTGAACGACCAATGAATAAAATGAAAATGTCTGTTTTTTGTCAAGTTCACTTATTTCGGCATCAGTGGGCTAATTAAATTTGCCCTTCTGAATAGGGGGGCTAATAATAGAGGGGGCTTAATTGAGAGGGGGCTGAAAAGAGAACTTACGGTACTTTATATCTGGATCCATGAAGCTCTGGTACCCAAGGTCCATTGCCTGTTGTCATCAAGACGTAACCTAAAATGATAAAAAGTCCCATAGTTTAAAGTATTGTGATAACCAATAAGTGATCCGAAATGATACAGATATATCAAGTTTTACAGAAACATATCTTGGTGCCTTGTGCACCAGAGCCACAAAATCTCGAGCGTGTAAACTGAAAACCAAGCAGAGAAGCGGAGGAATAATGAAAAATTAATAGAATTAGTTTTGTCTGAGTACCATCTGCTGAAAATAGCACTTTGGGGTACTTTACAGTTGAGGTCCCGATCTCATCGTCTTCAGCATGTCAAAATCTATAGATATGCCAATTTTCATGCTTTCCTCACTAAATGCACGATTGCTATGAAATCCGCAACTGCTCGTCCTCACGCATGGCTTTTAATCGAACGTGATCCAGGAGTGGAAGTATCGTGAAAAAACGAGCAGAATTGAATCGAACATTATATAAGCAGAACAGATCGAAGAAGAACGAGAAGAGCAGAGGAACGGAATCGAAGCAAATTCAAGGAATCGAAGTCAAAGATTAGAAAAAACTCTCAGATGATAGAAATTTTGAACTCTTATGAACGATGAACTCACCTATGAACCCGCAAGGATGAATAAAAGAAGAAGTGAAAAAAAAGTTATGTTTTAAGTTACTTTATCTTTTTGAGTAAATATCCCTACAGTCCTCTTTTATCTAATTAACCTTTATGTTTTATTGAATCTTTGGAATATTTCGAACCCATTGGTAATCCTAATCCTTACATGCGTCCATGACGATTCGTTTGATAAATCAGTGCGACAAACGGCCTCGATAAACACCCATTTCTTTATGTCAAAAGCCTTATTTGTCCCCATAAAAATGCGCAAGTATGGCACACTCATGCCACAATGTACGGAAAAAGGATCTGCACTGCTACTAATGCACGTTGCTTGTTGAAGCAAATAACTGAAAAAACTTCTATCTTTTGCTCCTTAATACTGTGTCCCAATTTTTTTATTTATTTTGATACCCTGTCCCAGAGTTTTGATGCAATTTATAATACCTTGTCCTGAAATTTTAATCGGAAAAGTATATCCTATTCTGCGGCCCATCTCATCAGGTTTAATATGGGGGGCCCCCTCGGGACATACGCAAATCCCTACCAAAAAACAACTGCAGAACAGATAAAGAATACAGTAAAAGGGCTGGGTCGGATTCCCCCTCTACATTAGGTCCATTGGATGCAAGCGTAGCGGGCTTCGTAGGGGGACTAGTTTTTCCGGTAATGTGCTATAGATAGTTTGTTTCCAATGAACGATGTTTAGTAAACATAGTAACAAGACAAATTGTTAACTGGACTGGTTACTACGCGCATATTACAATATCCAATACTAAGGTTTCTAAGAAATACGAAAGCACACACAACATGCTCTAATCAGTCTTTCACAAGCACTAATAGTCTTCAAAATACACAGTATCTCACATTGCAATACATCTATTGCCTGAAGTCAAGAAAACAAATGCTTCCGCACAAGTAACTACCCTGGGTACCAGACACACTATAGATAAAATAAAATTATCATTTCATTTTATATTATATTTTATTTTATATTTTTTTATATAGTGAGTCTGGTACCCAGGGTAACAAGAAACATGCTCCATTTTACGATGTGGTAAAAACACCAAATCTCTGTATTGTAAACTCTATTTCAATACAGAACATATGCAAAGTGAAGATACAATAGAACAACCAGTCGAAGCTTGAATTATCATGCAGGTTGGGTATTTCAAAGCAATTAATGTAGCTTGTCTTGCTTTTTAAGTAAATTTGTTAAAGTTTGCTAGTATTGCAGATGGTGTCGTCGTTGTAGCAAGTATGAGTGCCAGCTTTTTTACATCTTGTCTCTTATTCCTCAGGTGAGTAGTACAGTGTTTCTAACTGGGTCTAGTCCCACTCAACCACCATGCCTCTTACAGCAGCTATGGATATATAAGGGGGTTTAGGAGCCTGCAGCTAATTGTATCATTCTAAGAAAACACTTCTGATTTGCTGCGTGAGTTGATTCGAAAAGCGTGAAAATCTGCTGTTTGACAATTTTATACCATTACCAAACCTAGTCCTTCACTGGCTCTCCATTGACCGCTGTCCAAGGCCAAGGCAATGTTCCATTGAGTGTCATATATGATGATTCGCAAAAAAGATAACCATAGACATTGAAGGATAATTAACAACAAGTGAACTTTCAGCAAGTGAATTATTAGCAGAAACGACTACTACCTCGATTAGTGGGCCTATCACCGGAGAAGTAGCTGTAAAAGTTTTGCCGTGTAGATTCCCTTGCAAGCTACGCTGGCTTTCTAGCAACAACCTTCTAGGGTGTGTCACACTCTTTGCTAGGGTGTGACACATTCTTGAAACAAACCTGTTTAAAATGGGAGGTGTTTGACAAAGGGGCTCTTAATTGACAGATTTTTAGAGGTACGAACCAGTATTTGTGCGAAGGTCCGTTGGCTTTCAAAATTTTCTTAAATCGCCTTGCTCTTGGTTTTTAGCATGTTTAGTCCCCCCCCCCTCAAAGCGTTTTGGCCCACTTAGTTTGTAATATGTTCCGTGGTCCTTGTTTACCAGCCAGACGAAAGAAAGTTTTGAGAAAAAGGTTTCTTGAGGAAAATGAAAATGAAATGTCAGGTTCATATGATGCAATTATAATTGTTTTGAATAAATGCTGTGAAGTGCAAAGAGAAGGAGATTACCTTGTGATGCGAGTACTATTCGTCCAAATCAGTTTTACATCCATTTTATCATGCATTTCTTTTTCACAGCTTTCTTTCAAGCATCAATCTGGCTTTGTGCTGGATTTTACGACTTCCTTGCAAAACAGAGGCGAATTTCACCATATCAGCAGTTGGGTATGCCCTAGAGCACAACGTATTGATGAAACTGACGCTTCCTCTGGATGAATGCAGGGAAAATTGCATTTATACAGCTCACTGCAAATCTTTCAATTATAAGCAATCTGGACTCGAAAATTGCGAGCTGAACAGTGAGACAAATGTAACGAAACCAACCAATCTGGTTCAAAAAAGTGACTGGACATACTTCGCAACAAACCAGTTTACAAGGACTGTGAGTATCAAATATCAATAATTTTATTTCCAATATATTTTTCTTAAATAGTAGCTTCATTCGAATAACACTCGTATTTTTTTTTAATTCAGATAGGATCTCTATGCCAGAAACTTAGGCCCTGCAGTGCACAGCAATTCTGTATTGACGACTGTGCATGCCCGGGTTATCGTTGTGTCCGTTGTGCGCAGGCTTATGAAGCCTCCTTTGGATGGTTTGACTCAAGCAAATGTGAGTACAGTTATTCTTTATTGTAAAGTTTCCTTGCTGTCATTTGTTTTGTCGAGCTAATTCTCTACTGGCAAGGACTTCCTTTGAAATCATGCGTGGCATTCCACAGTTCTGATTATCAAATAGAACATTACAGTCTCATGTTTCTTGATGTTGGATTTAATGACGAAAATTTTGAATTTTCTTTAACTTTGCGATATTTTAGTTCAGCCATCTTGCAAAAGCATTCAAGCTTCGGGCATCACAACAAGTGGAAGTTATTCGCTTGATGGCATTGGAAATCACTACTGCATGATGGGTGGCGACTGTGGACCAGGAGGTTGGAC